GGGCAATAGTATTTCTTTGAAATTTTAGTTCTTACTCTTATTTTGGGATGACAGGAAAAATAAAAAACTTGTTTTGAATGTCCTCAGACTATGAGAACTATGTGTACACACTACCCGGCTCCTAGCTTATTCAGTTGTTGTGCATTTCCTAAATTTAGTTAATACTATGCCAAAATCATGTTTTGACTGCTGGCATATCCTTAATTTGAAATGAGCATTAAATAATTTAAATTCTATTTTATTAAGATTTAGTTTTTTCACCTTCATGTAGCTGGGCAACTACAGTAATGGGAGGCCTGGTCTGTTACTATATTTTAATGCATATGCTGTTTTTCCCGTCTTATGTTCTTGCCATTGTATTATTTATGTTGCACACACACACATAGCCACCAGAAACATTTTTCTGTCTGACCACTGTGATTTTACTGTGTTCCCTGAAAGGGGAGTGAAGCAATTGACTCACTTGAAATAGGACATTCTAGAGGTTCTTACAGCTGTCAAGAGAATGTGGTCTGTAAGGAATAACTGGAGCTTTATGTAATTTCTTTAGGCTGCTACCTAGTTCTTGTGAAAGGCAACACTGCCCTCTAGAGCCAGTTCTAGCATGTATCTTCATCAGATAAATCACTTATTTTAAAAAATTTATATATATACTGTAGGACCTTTCAAAAAATAAATATTTAAGACTTGGTTTAGTTTACTCTCTGGCTTGAAGCCCATTGCATCAGCTATCTTGGGGATACATTAGAGTTAAAATTCTGTTTATCTCTCATCTGATAGCTAATATCCAAAGAGTTTTTGTGTGTGTTTTTCATTTTTGTATTACTTTCCTCTAAAAAGAAAGTGTTTTCAATTCTCATTTTAAAAATATGGTACATTGGGTCACTGCCAGCCTCTTAAAAGTTAAATCATTATTGTCTTTCCTTCACTTTGTAACTGTTGTGTCATTTTTCATTTCATTCTGAATATGAATCGTAATTTCTTTTGCCTGTGTTTTTTTTTTTTTTTCGCAAGCACGCCTTTCATATAATGATAGAGGTAAGATGCATTGATTTTTTTTTATGGTTGTAAAATTTTTTGTGGATGCATACTTAACATTTTGTCTTAGTTTTTTTGTTACTGTTGTTCTACTGTGCATCCTTTACAGTTTATATACATTAATGTTATAAAGGCTCTCCATCACCACTACATAAAAGTATGATAGATTTATAAAGTAACAGCTTTTGGTTTAAAAAGATTGCTAAAATCCATAATTATCTAAGGTAAAGTATTTTTAAAAGCAACTATTTAAGCGGATTAGAAAATATGTAATGATTGATGACTTTAAAAACCTTTGTTGGTTTATTTTTATAGTATGTAGTAGTAGGTTTAAATGTCAGCATATGCTCATATATAACAAGAGCTGACTTTCTGGTACAGCACATTATTTTTTAATCACATTTTAATCACAGTATGTTTTCAGTTTTATCTTTGACATCTCTAGCAAATGAACTAGTTGTGAAGTATAACTGTTGATGATCTTTTGTTATCTGGAGGTTTATATAATAAGATTAGAATTTACCCTAAGAATGGAAGACTCAGAAATATCAACGTGGTATCTTTTGAGCCATAAGAAGAAATATAATGAGTCATTTCTAATATATACCTTTTTTTTTTGTTTTACAAAATAGCATGGATACTGTAAGAGAAATGGAGATTTATGAAATTTTCAGCAGTTGTTTCTTCCTCTGAATAGTTTTTCTGAGTCAGAGCCAAGCCATGTTTTGTGAATGAAATCAGAATGTTGCTACCATTTATGAGGTTTACATTTGCATTTGTCTCCAAGGGTTCATAAATTTTAAAGGTATAAATCTTTTATTTCTAGAAGCAAATATTAAGTGGGTTTTCTGTGGGTAAATTACTATAATGCCAGTAAACTAAAAACTTTCTACTATTTTCAGATAGTAGAATAAGTAAAACCCAAATATTTGACACTTAAAATGTCATTGTAGCAACTTTTCATTAAAGAAGCAGGCAAAACATATGTTGATTAGTGTTTAGGTTTTATACAGCTATAATATTTGCTGCAGAATTATTCATTTTGAGCCTAATTCTTTTAAGTATTAAAGAGTATTATTATTTTAAATTTACATTTAAGGGGTTGGGGGTTTAGCTCAATGGCACAAGCACCTGCCTGGCAAGTGCAAGGTCTTGAGTTCAATCCCTAGTATTAAAAAAAAAAAAAAAATTACATTTAAAAATAGTTCTAAAAGTTTTGCCACTTTATATGCCTGTGCCTTTGTAGACCTTTTCTTAGCCTTTGAAAATTATCCAGTGTTGGTTTTAAGGTTCTTTTCCTTTTAAAGTAATTTTGACAGCAGTGTATTTTCTGGCTGTTAAGATACAGTATTGAATGTAACTGTATTACTGTGAGGGTGATCTGAAGTTTCTTCTGAAATATCAGTAGCTTAGAAATTTGCTGAGCAGAGCCTTAGCAAGTTGTTAGAACTTTAATATTTATGCATTTGGAAGACATTTGTCTATATTTCTTAAACATAGGCATTAAAAATTATTGTACATTTTCTGGACTTAAAGTTAATATTGTCCTTAAGTTGTATTTTGAATCACCAACATTTTTGAGATTTGGATTAAATCATCTAAATCTTGTTTTATAGAGTGAATTGTATCTGTGATTGGCACCTTTTAGAACAGACCACATATATCAGCAGACACATTACCAATTTATATAAAAGTTGTTGAAAATTCCACTGTTTCCATTTAGAGTTAAACTACTTTCTACTTGATTATTTTCCTGTGTCAGCTTTTAGCCGTTGTGTCTATACTTCAGTTTTTAACATTCCTGCTTTGAAAATACTACCCTCATAGCATTTTCTACTATGCTTATTTATTCCTTTATGCAGTTATATAGTAATACTTGGACTGGATTTTGCCTGTGGGAAAGTAGTTTTCAACCCTTTTCCTCCAGTCTCAAGATTCATTTAAGCTGCTGTCTTTTATTACAGGTAGAATGTTTTGTTACAGGTAGAGGTGATCAGTTAAAGAACAAGGAAGGAAGGGTATATTTCATAGATAATCTCCAGAGATTCTTGTTCCCACACCGTACCCCTAATCATACTTAGGAGACAGTCCTTTCTGTAAGATTTATACCTGACCTTCTTGACCTGTCACTCTGCTAAATGGAAACATTTTAGCTTCACTAACCTTTCTTTGAATGTGAGAAGGAAAAGGAACTTTCATAGACATTGTAAAATAAATATCTGAGTTTGGAATGAATCACAAGAAGTCTTCTATTTTTTCTTAATGTTTTAAAATAGGAATTCTCAAACCATTTTATTAAGATTACTTTAGAAGAAGTTGTATCTTTTTTTTTATTTAATACCTTGCAATTTTCTGTCAGGGGCCTTTCTGATGTTAGATGTAAACTTTTCAAACTCCTGAGCGGCACCAGTGAGGTAAACAATACCTAAGCACTAGCTAGGTATTAGTCTGTGAGTCTTTAGAAGAGGAGATTTTTTTAAAAAGCTGAGTGACATGCATTGATCTTCGGTGACATACTCTTTCCATGTAACTGAGGTGTCAGCCATTGCAGTCATGCCTGTTCCTCTTGCTACAGTCGTAATACCTCTTATGCAGCCCTTGAAATACTTACTTTACTTTTCTCTGAGAGCTTTCCAGACTTCTTGTTCTTTGCTGTAGGTTAAGATAATAGGTAGAATGCTTTCAATAAAGGGTTGTTGCATCCTATTTTGTATAGGGAGGATCTCCTCGCTGTACTGTTATTTAAACTGTATTTGCTCTATTGACTCTAAACACTGTATTTCTCTTTCATTTACTATAGCTTATTATCATCACTGATCACTTTTCTGCATTTTTACTTGTATTTTTTTGGGCAATCAACCTTAAAATACAAATAATTTAAAAAAATTTTAAAAATTTTTAAAAAAGCAAGACAGGAAAAAAGGATAGAAATCATACAGGATTTTTTTAAAAATAGGAAATCAACACTAATTAATAATTGTATGTTGTTGTCTTAGAGGTTGTTGTTCTGGTTACAAAATCAAGGCACAAAATGATGCAAACTGTAACAAGCACAAACTTTTCGATGAACTAACAGAGTAGAGCATAGTTATCTATCTAGCATACCTGTACATACATACATTTATATGTGTTTATCAGCATACATAAAATCTTTTCCTTTTTTCCTTTCCCCTATCCTAGTTGTTCTGTCCTTTTGAGCACTTTCTTTCCCTTTCTTTATTACAATATCTATTGTATATTTAGGATCTTACTACATTTCAGATTTTTAGTTTTTATTTTTTGTACTAGGGCAAATAATTTTTTTTAAATCTAAGATCAGTTTTGGGAAATAATTACATACAAAAGGATGAATTGTTAATACATTAAAAAATGAGAACAGACCAAACAGATTGGCTGTAGTTTCTTTCCTTTATGTGGTTTTGTATTTGATAGATCTGTCTGCAATATGTTTGTAAATACCTATATTTCTGACATTAATGAAGAAAACATTTGAAATTAGATAGCCATTGAAGAAAACAGTAGATTTTAAGATGTTCTTTGAGGAACAGCCACAATTTCCTCTTTCTAATATTTTTCAAATCCTCATCTTTTCAGGAAGTCTAAATTAGATGAAAATAAAATATTCTCAGGAGTGCTTAAAGTTCACAGAAAATCTTATTGGAAAAAATTAGTAAGACAGGATATAAAGATGGTTTTTATTTTTTCCCCCTGCTATACATAAGTAACAGTAGTGTTAATTGTCAGTATGAAAACTCTTAAGTCAAGTTGTCTGCCTTGTGATTACTGAAGATACTTAGTAATACTTCAGAAAATCAGGTTTGGCACGATTGAAGTTAATGTATCCACATGTGTTTATTGTTTCTGTCAGCTGATTCTTTGGCATACTCACTTTTTTTCTCATTTTCAGAATTGATGCATTACATTTTCTGCTTATTTAAAGTATTGTTATTATTTATCTGTAGGACCCAGGACCACCTCCACCCTCTCCGTTACTAGGTTTGAAACCACTGCAATTATTAGAAGTGAAAGCAAGGGGAAGATTCGGTTGTGTCTGGAAAGCCCAGTTACTCAATGAGTATGTGGCTGTCAAAATATTTCCAATACAGGTATGTTTACTGCAGCTATCTACTCTGTGTTTATGTTCTGAAAGCTGTAACCGGTGAAGATATCAAAACTCAGAAACAGTCTGAAAATATAAGCCACAGATATAGAGTGGTTCTTGGTGATACTAGAAAAAGAGTTAGCCTCTTTATATCTGACTTCACATCTGAGAAAATTATTAGTACAACAGTCATGTTTGGAGTGGTGGAATTACCATAAATGAGCATATAGATGATGTTTTGTCAGTAAAAGTTTTATAGAAATGTTAAGTTGAAGATTCCCGTTTTAAAAAAAAAAAGTACAAAGTGTTTGAGTGGTTGTTTTAATATCCCTTTGAGATTATCAGAGAAAGCAAAGAGAAGAGTGTAAGTGTAATGTGCCTTGTTTTAGAATTGGTATTTGAAAGTATATTACTAGACTGATACGTTTTTATACCACTTTTGAGTGCTTATGTAATTATTTCAATTTTTGTTTGATTAGCTTTCAAAGGCAGCTGATCAAGCTTCCTAACAATTGGTTTACCGTTGTTTTTCTTTGAAAAGCTGCTGGATTTCTCATAAATCCTGTTCTAACCACCTCTTAGCTGTTTTTCTGTTTTATTGTGTTCCACTGTATGAACCTGATAATGCTGCTTTCATTTTTCTTGCTTATTTACCCCTGTGGCTAATGATATTCGTGATAGTACAACCTTGGCTAGATTTAAGGATATATAGGCTTTACTACTACACTGAAACATCAAATCTTCCTTATTCAAAGTTATCATATAAATAGTGTTTTTGTCTTACTAGTCTTAGATTTTAGCCTTTCTACCTCTTGTAAAGCTTCTGTGATAGAGCCCGTGAAGAAATTTGATTTTACTCCTTTTGGTAGCAATACAGATTCTATATAGTTAAATACTCAGAAAGAAAGTATATTCTGCTGTGCCAAGAGTCATAAAATACATCAGGAAAATTTTACAGTTTGTCAGGAATCTTAAAAATTAGAGAAAAACATTTGGATGTTAAGAGTAACAACAATAGTAGCAAATACTTTATTGAATCTTTTTATTGTGTCAGTATGAGTGCTTTACATATTATCTATACATCTATTACTCATGTATATATCAAATATAGCAACACTGTGCAAGAGATACTGTAATCTCCATTTTATTTAATTAGGAAAATAAGAAATGATTATGTAACTTGTCAAAGGTTAGTGAGAGAGCCAGAATTCAAACTTAGTTTGGATCCAGAGGTTTCCTAACTGTTATGTAGGGTACTGCCACTTTTATTGCACTTTCATCGTGCAAAGAAAGTAACATTTTATTAAGTAGATGGGTAGTAGAAATGCATTGCTTGCAGGCCATAATAAATATATGGTGGTTTTAGAATGTAAGATACCATAGTTGGTCTTCCACCTGATAAATAGTAACACAAGTAACATCACATTATGATGAAACTACAATATGATATTTGTATGCAGAATTTGTTGCCATCATGATATATAGAAGTCCTGATGATGGCCTTTGTCCATAAACTAAAACCCAGGAAAGTACATTTTGAGGAGATAGGGTGAGGCATTTAGTATGGAACTCTTACTTATTGGAGCTTTGTTTTGTTAAAAACTAGGACAAAACAAAAGATCATTTATGATTAGCTTTATTTCCTTTTTCTATTTAGCTAGCTTTTCCTTTTTTTTTTTTTTTTTTTTTTTAGAACTTGAGTAATCTCCTAGACATGGTGTATTTTTCTGTATTCCTGTATTTTTTACTGTTCTACCTTTTTAACTCTAGGACAAACAATCGTGGCAAAATGAATATGAAGTCTATAGTTTGCCTGGAATGAAGCATGAGAACATATTACAGTTTATTGGTGCAGAAAAACGAGGTACCAGTGTAGATGTGGATCTTTGGCTTATTACAGCATTTCATGAAAAGGTAAAATTACTTAACTTTTATTAAGATCAGATGATGTTGGCTATGAATCTCAGACTTTTCAGGAAATAGTGTGTTATTATAGTTGATTATTATTTAACTTAAAGTATGAATTGCTTAATTCTTTCAAAAGTAATTTGTTTTACTAAATAGTAAAAGTAGCAACTTTTTTTCTGTAACTGTCCTACTCATACTGATTTCCTGTTCCGCAGTATTTGATATACATGGTCATTTACTTACTGTGTGTGACCTATTTTGATTTCATGAACCATTTCTCCAGCCTGAATTTTGTGCTTTAATAATAAGTCCAGATTATTGACAGACTGAAAGTTACAAAATTTATGTGATCTTTACTCTGGCACTAGTTTATAGGATTATTATCACAAACACACTTGCTATTTTTGAACCCTCACAGTTGTTTGAAAGTAACATAAGTGAGATAAGAAATTGTATTTTTGATGATCAGTTTCATCAAGTGGCTCTTAAAAATTTCTTCCTTCTTTTTTTTTGTTTTTGTTTTTGTTACTAGGGACCTAACTCATAGTTTCTCAATTCTTAACCATAAGGATGATTAATCTCTAGAGGCAAGATTGTTTATATTAGTGGTTTCTTATATTTTGTGTTATTCTAGTTCTTTCAGGTAGCATCTCTGTAGTCAATGTGTTTTCACTTTAAAAAAATGAGTATTTTCTAGAACTTTAGATTTTTAAATAGTCCTTTTTTAAATTTTACTGTTCAAATAGTGGGAAATTGAATATTTTTCTATCAAACCTTTAGAGATCACTATTTTTTCTTTGTGGTTAAATGTTTACTAATGCAAATTGGGAGAAAATTTCAACCATTCCAGGAAATTTGCTTTTTGGATATTATTATGAGAAATAATATTTTGCCTTTTATAATTACTGATAGGTTAAAAAAATCTATGTAAGTATGGTTTTTGTCAAGTGCTTTAGTTTTTTTTCTCCTGCTCTTTTCTTTAGGGTTCACTATCAGACTTTCTTAAGGCTAATGTGGTCTCTTGGAACGAACTGTGCCATATTGCAGAAACTATGGCTAGAGGGTTGGCATATTTACATGAAGATATACCTGGCTTGAAAGATGGCCACAAACCCGCAATATCTCACAGGTAGAGCAAAATTTATCTTGATTCCCTGTATAATTCAGAATATGTCTAGTATTTAAAATGTAATCCCTTAGGTAAAATTTATTTTCTCTTTATCTGTTTAATCATGCTGTAGGAAGTAATTTTTACAATTTTTATTTGTTTCTTAAATCAGTTAAGATTGAATCATTATGGAAAACGTGTATGTTAACATCATTAGTAAAGTTTAATTATCTCCTTATGCCTTAATTTCTCATTTCTGAAAGCACTGAAAATGAAAGTAAATTTTATTTGAAAAGAAAAAGAAATTGTTTTAACTCAAAACATCATTTACTTAATGGTGATTATGAATAGTTACAAAGCAATGCAGTTAAGGAAAAACTTTGAATATTTTTTTACTTGTTTTTTAAATAACCACATACTTTTTCCATGAGCTAAGCTACAGGATTATATCAAACAGTTGCCTAATGAAGAAATAGTACCTGGGATTCAATCTGTCAAATTTGTATTTATTTTAAAGGTGTGTGTGTGTCTGTGTGTTTTTACGATTCATTAACAGGTATTTTAGTGCCATCGGACAGTGATAAGTTGTTAGGAGGCATCACTTTAAATCTACCTCAAATATGTAGAATCTCAGTTTGCAAAACTTCTAGATTTCTGCTTCAGAAATAGGTGTGCGCCCCTCCCCCCCATTTATTCTTGCCTTCCTGCATGCAGTCTGTCTTCTGTCTTCTAATAGGAAACTTATCCTTTGGACTATCCTCTCCTACCCTACAAAAAAAAAAAAAAAAAGTAAAGAAAAGTAAAGGTTATTAAGAGGAGGGGCCCTGGGGCTGGGGATTTAGCTCTGCGGCATAAGCGCCTGCCTTGCAAGCAGGCAGTTGCGAGTTCGATCACCGGTACCGATAAAAAGGAAAAAGACAAAAAGAAAAAAAAAAAAAAAAGAAAAAAAAAAAAAAGAAGATAGGGGCCCTGAAAATCTTTTAAGACTGAAAGCATTTCTGTTTTTCTCTGCCTCCTTCATCACACTCTTGGTCTATGTGACTGTACACAAAAATGTTACCATGGGTCATGGCACAGCTATAATTAGTTGGTATATAGTAATTTCAAAGATAAGTTTAGCCAGCTATCCTTTTCAGAACACCAGGAGATGGCTTGAACAGTGTATGTGTAAGGTCAAACCTTTGTAAGTGTTACATATTGCTAGATAACTTCTCTACAACCAGGTTGTATAATCCTCCACTCTAAGGGACATTTTAAAATGTAGGTCTGTGCCAATAGACAAAAGATCCTAATTTGGCTATTTAAAAACTTTCTTTTCCCATTTTTAAAAAACTTAGTTTCTATGGAAATTTTAACTATAAACTCTGAAATATTCTGTCTTAAAAAAACAGCGATTTTATGATTGCTCTGTGCAGGTGACACAGATAACATGTATTGGGAGTGACAGAAATAGTGTATCTTTGGAATGGCAGTTCTTTGTACAATTTATGGAGAGTCTTACTGTTTGTGTTACAAATAGGTGTTTGTCACCCTACTCTTGTACCCTGCTTAAGCTTTTTGCATCTTTTTCTGCATTTCATATTTTAAAATATTCTTTTATAGTATATTCTTTTCCACTTTCAATAAACATTTCTAAAAGATAACTTGTTTAAATTTAATTTGAATATCTTTCTGTTTACAAGGGACATCAAAAGTAAAAATGTGTTGCTGAAAAATAATCTGACAGCTTGTATTGCTGACTTTGGATTGGCATTAAAGTTTGAGGCTGGCAAATCTGCAGGTGATACCCATGGACAGGTAAGGATGATCAAAAGAAAAATAAGCTCTCATATTTTCTTAGATTGGCCTGTCTGGAATGAATTGGTCTGAAATTGTGGTGGTGATTATTAATTAGCATCTACTCAAGAGTAATGTTTTATATTTTTTTTGTGGAAGATAAGATTTTCATATAATGGTAGAGAACTCAAATTGTATAAAATAACCACTTCATTAAAAAAATTTCTTAGATATTACAGGATTCTTTTTAAAAAACAGATCACAGAAGACAGAAGAGTCCATCTTTCAATAGGCCTTATCCTTAAGAAGTTCTTTCTGTTAACTTAGTAGTATTTGTAACTTGTTAATTCTTTCCTCATCATAAAGAGAAGTGGAAGAATCATCAATCACTATTTTGGCTACAGTGTATTAAAATATCCTTCCAATTTTTTTAAACAATTCGTTCTTTGCTTCTGGCTTTTTACTGCTTTATTAACTGCTTAGTCAGTTTGACAGCTTTTTTTCTGAATTGTCTTCAGAATTCAGAGCCCTAGAAAAGGCATGAGTGAGGTATCTTAACTCCAATGAAAGTCTACACAGAGCCTTTAGGGAAGGCCAAAGAGAAAAAGACTATCTTTTTTCTTTATTCTCAGAAACTCTGAGGCTAGGAAAAGAATTTTCATTCCACAATATATAACCTTTTAATCAATAAAAAGCAATTTTACCCAGAAGTTCACACTTCCTATAAAACAGTGATTTACTGGCTTTGGTGTTATTTCCTCCACTGTAAAAGCAGCTTGATCAAGTAGCTCTGAGCTTGCTTTTTTCCAGAATATCCTTTTGATCCCCAAGAATACAGTTGTAAATAGTCATGCCAAAATGAATTTTAGCATTGACCAAAATTTAGTTTATGGTGCTGATCAGCAGTCATAAGAACTCTAGAAAAGTTGGCACTCAATTTGTTCCCAAATAGAGGCGGTTTGTTGCGAGTACTACCAAGATGGAGGTTAGCAGAAAGCTGAGGCACTAAGTTCTGCACATCCTGTGTTTGGGAACAGTTTCATCTCGTACTGTGTTAGCTTCTTCCATTTTTTTGAGAAAAAGTATTGGTGCTCACTCATCTTGTAACACTCTCACAGTTAAGTTATATGACGAGATAAAAATAACAGTAGCTTCTTGACTTTAGATTTCATGGGCCATAAAATTTCAAAATTGGAGGTACTTGAATGTTATTGTACATTTTATATAAAGAAAGAATGCTTAAAAAATAAAAACTTTTGTCTTCTATCATCAGTTTATAAAAGGTCATTTCAGATTAAAAAAGTAGATGAGTCATATTAAAGAAGTGCTTTGGATAGCATACATTTAAGAGAAAAGTTTTTTAGGAGATACAGTAAAATTAAAATTCAGAATAGAAGTACTTTTTTCTTTTTATAAAGTGTTCTCATGTAAATTAAAAAGTTAAATCTCAGAGTTACGGTAATCTGTTATTTAAAAAAAAATAAAACCATTGTGTGTGTGTGTGTGTGTGTGTGTGTGTCCATGTGTGTGTATTTTTTTTTTCCCCCTTTTTGGAAGGACACATATAATTTCCTAACTTCAGGTCTAGACCTCGCAGTCACATAAGGAAGGAGCTTTTTGGGAATAACCAGTATCAAAGCTGTCTCACAGGTCTGCTGAAACTTAAGTATGTACATGTGGTCTATCCAGAAAACTCACAAAAAATTGTTTTAAGCATTCATATAAGAATTCTGTCAAGTACCAACCAAACCTAGATGTACTAACTTAGTTACCATAGTTACAGTAGCAAGAAATACCAAATTGTTGGGACTGGATACTAATATAAAGGACTCCAAGACAAGAATTCATGAGTAAATAAATACACAAACTATCTTATAAAAGTAGAACTTTTTATTTATTCATCTTTTACTTGGCTAATTCCTATACAACATCTGGTAGTTGGTGAAGCCCTCAAAAAAAGTTTTTGGGTCAGAGATATAACTCAGCAGTACAAGTGCCTGCCTGGCAAGTGCAGGGTCCTGAGTTTGATTCCCAGTACCCCCCAAAAAAAAAGTCTTTTAAGGCTATATTTCAAACAGATACAAAGATACAACTGGAGATTATGCTGTTTTCTCTGTTCTTTCTTCCTAGCTCATTGTTCTTATTCTTGTGATTACTTGTTGTGGGGGTGGGGGTTGGATTCTAAGCCTCTCTACTAGCATAATGTCAATATATTTATGTGTACCAGAAATAATCTTAGTATCTATACCTTATAGTCTGTTGATCGTAATTTAGTTGTCTTATGCTAATGGTAGACTATATTTGGCTTTGATTCTTTTCACAAAAATCATAAAGTTAATGAATACTTCTTGCTTTCAAAATCTTTTTCAGGTTGGTACTCGGAGATATATGGCCCCGGAGGTATTAGAGGGTGCTATAAACTTCCAAAGGGATGCATTTTTGAGGATAGATATGTATGCCATGGGATTAGTCCTGTGGGAACTGGCTTCTCGCTGTACTGCTGCAGATGGTAAGGAAAAAGTACTTTTTAAGTATATATACCACATTATTAAGAGAGAATACATTCAAAGGTAATAAAGTATAGTTTCTTTTAAATGGCCTTCAAGAGGTGGTAGAGAATTCAGAAGAGGCTGGGGAGCAGAGAGGGTGGGGTAGAAGGTTACATTATGTAGATCTTGCCCTCCAGGTTCTCAAGTCACTTCTTTTGGTAAGAGGAGATGTATAAAGAGTAGCAGGAACTTCGCCTTCCAACATAGTCAGGCTGAGTATGTTCAGCTTTGGGTTAGTGCCAATTTATACTTAAACTAGCCAGATTAGTCCCAGGACTCTGAATATGTATTTCAGTGTATCACAAGTTAAATTCTTCCTCCCCAAAGCTATAAAGGTCTAAACTTAATAGACATTACTGTGATGAATACTAGTTACTCTTAACACCTTACCTTGGTTTTAAAGTTCCTGTTTGTCCAAGTTTTCATCATATAAATGTATTCCATTTATGTATCGATTATAAACTTGCATACTATATTCCTAGTGTGACAACTGTAGTGTTACAGGAACTCTCTTTTTAGTGTTATTCATATGGTCTCTCTCTCAAAATGTGTTGCAGCACTTTTTCAGATAAGGCAAACTACTTAACTGCTAATATCCTAAACAGATGTAAGTGAATTTGATCTGGGTTTACTGCCTAAGAACTTCCTCTGATTGCTAAAGAGCAGAGAAAAATTATGCTGACTATTAAATGGCATAGTTAACTTATGTTAAAGGGACTTAGTAGAATGTTCAGAAATGGGGAGCAGTTTATTCTTCCAGGATTAGAGGTTTGGCTTGACAGTAGATTCAGAATCTAAGAAATCTTAGAGCAATTTGAGAACAGCTGTAGCTTCTCAGTCTGTAGGAAAATGAGTAAGCTGTCCAGTGTATTTTGACTCAAAAAATAGAAGATACGTAAAACTTGGTACATTTTTGGAAGCAGAAGCAGGTCAGATGGCAGGTGTTATAGGAAGATACATTTCATAAGAATTTAATATGAATTCTCTATAGAAAAATATTGGCTTAGGTCCCACAGGGCACACAAGGCCTGTTCTCTAGTAATAAACAGTTAAGGCAATAAAATATATTCTGGACAGTTAACTGTAAAATGAGGTGTGAATTATCTAGTCCACCACCTGGTATGTAGACATTCATTATGTTTTCTTCGATGAATTTAGCACTAAGACATTACGGAGTGTTATGGGAGTTTAGAGAAAAAAATACCTTTTGAGGCAGAGGGATTAGGGAAGGATTTATGGAAAAAGAAAAGGATGCTGACTTTTCTTAAATGCTGTGTATGTGCCATGAAACAGTCAGGTTTTTAAGTCAGAAATTGGAGGCCAAAGGGACAGTGTGAACAACACTGCTAAAGTGGGTGCTTTTGCCTTGATTGGTGGCTACAGTAGTTATCCAGTCATTTTCAAATTAATATGCACAGTGAGTCTTTGGGAAGTTTGTTAAAATCAAGATTCTGACTCAGTAGTCTGGGTTGAGACCTGAGAGTCTACACTTTTTTTTTTTTTTTTAAACAAGCTACTAATTGATGCCAGCATAAGACCATACAAGAGTCCAATAAGTTGTTCTTTAGTTTAAAAAAAGAAAAAAAAAAAAAAAAGAGTCCAATAAGCACCTTGGAGTGTCAGCACACTGGAGAGGCTCTTCAAACATTAAGGTCCTTAGATTTACAGAGTTAATTACATCTTTATGATTCATAATCCAGGAGTATTTGGTGCATTTCAAGGCCTTACATGAGTCTTGGGTCTAGGTACACAACACATCTGGTAAATACAATTGCTCTCTAGTGATCTATTTCTGTTAAGGCGAAAGCATAGATTTGATGGATTCAAAACTTCGAAGTCCATAGGGTAATAGCTATATGCTCTTGGGCAAAATTCTGTAACTTTCTGAGCTTCATGCAGTCTTCTCTTTGTAAAGAGTAATACGTGTAAAGTTCCTGGTCAAGATGAATGCTCATCGAATACTAGTTATTAGTAAGTCCTAAATCATTTTCCTTTTGAGTGAGTAAAAAGGAGGTATTTATGTTGTTCAATAAATTCTACCTGTGAAGAATATTCTGACTTGTTGAAAATCCTGGTGGAGAGTAAGTTTGTGATTTTTAAAAATAAGCAAACATTTTTTAGTAATGTGTGTAAGAGGAGAAGAGGTATGACTCTGAGGTTCGTTAATTTCTTAAGTGGGACATGAAGGGGGTTTGAGTATACTATAGAAAGAGTGTACTACAGAAAGAAGATATAATAATAGATTGTAACCAGTCTTCAAAGACAGAAACAGCACTGTTAACATTCTAATTGGAATTACAAGGTAGTGTCACTTAAAAGAGGAATATTGTTTTTGATTTGCAAGCATCGATTATTCCTGTGTCCTATATCCAGATGAATATAAACAGGCCTCATAAAGTAGATAAGAAAGCTCCTAAACAGTCTTAACAATGTTGTGTCAAACCATAAACCTTTTGATTCCTTGTTGTTCTTGTCACACTTTGGTATAGGTATAACTAAATCTGTTTCTTTTGGGTCCTTGTAGCATACAGAGTTGGAAAAAGGCAAAATGGTATATTCTAGCAAGTTTATACCAGTTTGGAAGTCAAGATTTTAATTAAAATGACTTTTTTCTTTTTTTACATTTCAGGACCCGTAGATGAGTACATGTTGCCATTTGAAGAGGAAATTGGCCAGCATCCATCTCTTGAAGACATGCAGGAAGTAGTTGTGCATAAAAAAAAGAGGCCTGTTTTAAGAGACTATTGGCAGAAACATGCTGTAAGTTATACTGTTAGTTTTTTATTTAAAATTTCACTATAACACTTTTCAGAGAATGATTCATTCTCTGCACATTCCTGGGAAGGTGATCTTCACATAGGTTATTCTGTATAAGCGCTAGGCAGGAGAATTAGGACTTCGTATACTGACCAGGGAGAGTATGAAGTCAGAGCTCTTATCTAGACAGCCTTGGGCAGATGGGTGTCTGGTTTGGAAAGCTTTCTACAGAAAGAAATGCCTGGTGTTGAGCCTCTGTATAGCCAGGTAGCACTGGTGGATCACCACCTTCCAACATGGTACTATTTTTAAACTTACTAAGCTAAGCACCAGGTTTTCTCCTCTCCAGAGGAATTTGCTTTAGCATTTTGATTTTGGCTTACAAGACTTTGAAGTTATTATCAACTCCTAAAATTAGAGCCTATGTAGAGGATACTGTAGGTCCTGGTAGTTTTGGTCTAAGTATATCTAGAAACATTGATAAAATCAAGTAGAGAATCCTAAACAATGGCCCTCCAATCCTGTATTTAGTTATTAGATAGAAATGGTTATACTAAGTAAAACTGAAAAACAGTGGTACGAATTCCGTTAGTGTTGGTTTTGAGACGAGTTCAAGGTTTACATTGAAATGATTATTTATGAGTGAACAGGCACTTTTGGAATTAAAAAATTCTGTTGCAGTCTCCAGTGCATAAAAAACATAATTACCCTGTGTGCTTTTTCTCCTGTCTTACAAGATACTTCGTATGAATGTTGACAGATAATATGAGAGTTTGTTAATCTTGAAACTTCTTTGACCACAAAAATTGCTGAAGTGTTTAACTATTTTTCTCTTTTTAGGGAATGGCAATGCTTTGTGAAACAATAGAAGAATGTTGGGATCATGATGCAGAAGCCAGGTTATCAGCTGGATGTGTAGGTGAAAGAATTACCCAGATGCAAAGACTAACAAATATCATTACTACAGAGGACATTGTAACAGTGGTCACAATGGTGACAAATGTTGACTTTCCTCCCAAAGAATCTAGTCTATGATGGTTGCACCATCTGTACACACTGAGAAATGGGACTTTGAACTGGAGCTGCTAAGCTAACAAAACTGCTTACAGTTTATTTTCCGTGTGAAATGAGTAGGTCTCCTGGAAATGTAAGAAAGCAGCCCCTCATTGCAAAGTGTGGTGCTGGGAGACTTACTGCATTGCCTGCAGCACAGACGTGAAGGACATGAGACTTAAGAAAAGTTGCAGACTCCATAACTTTTGAAAAAAATGTACATGAAGAATGTGGCCCTCTCCAAATCAAGGATCTTTTTGGACCTGGCTAATCAAGTGTTTGAAAACTGACGTCAGATTTCTTAATGTCTGTCGGAAGACACTAATTCCTTAAATGAACTACTGCTATTTTTTTTAAAATCAAAAACTTTTCATTTCAGATTTTAAAAGGGTAACTTGTTTTTATTGCATTTGCTGTTGTTGTTTCTATAAATTACTATTGTAATGCCAATATGACACAGCTTGTGAATGTTTAGTGTGCTGCTGTTCTGTGTACATAAACAAAGTCGTCAAAGTGGGGTACAGTAAAGAGGCTTCCAAGCATTACTTTAACCTCCCTCTCAACAAGGTATACCTCAGTTCCATGGTTGCTAAATTATGAAATTGAAAACACTAACAAATTTGAATAAATTGATCCATGTTTTGTAACAAGGTATTACAAATTCACTGTGTTATTCAAGAAAAAATGGTAAACTATGGTTAGTGCCAATAGCTAAGTGGCCATTTGTAAAACAGTGTTTTAGCTTTTATTGTGCTGGCTTGTAATTTAAGGAGAGAAGTGCTGTTTTTTGAGATGAAATGTAGTTTCCCCCTTATCTATGTTTTAAAATCTTCATCGATAACCAGGTCTCAAAATATTGCATACTTACTTCTTTTCAGGTGTGATGTGTTTGGGGAATATTTAAAAAATTAAAGCATGATTTCATTTTTTTTTTTTTTAAAGTGAGCTGTGACACTGGAAAGCTCTTCATTTTATCTTTTTAAATACATTTTTCCTATTTTTTTTTTAATGTAGAATTTGTATATTTCTTTTCACCAAACTGTGTAGGAGAGTCTTTTTATCACTGTTTTAGGATCACCTCAGGAAGTGGCATTACCCAGAATTCCTCACTGTTTTGAGACTTGTAACTTTATCACTATTACTTCTGTTTGGTGCCATCTTGTGAAAGTAATATTTGATGCCTGGGATTTGTAAAGAATTCTCTTAGGATAGTGATTATTAGCCTCTAAGCACAGATTCAGATGTTACTGCTTTAAAACAAATCAGGGATAAAAAGTCAAAGTTACAATTTAAAATATGCAATGACATTTAGAGGTAACCAATGTTGATACAGTAACAAAGCCTTGTTCCCCAAAATTGCTTTCACAAATAACTCTGATATTTAGGATAGTTCATGCCTTATCCTTGCTAAGAAAATGGAATTTATGGTGGGTGCCAAAATGCTCTTTAAAACAATATTGCATAGAATATAATTGGGTTCTTCTCAAATTCATATGGACCAAAGTACAGTAAAACATTAACTTCCTGGATTTTTTGATTATTCACCAACAGCTAGTGTTACGCTTTGTACTTTTTTGTCAGGTCATTTTAAAATACATGCATTAATTCTGTAATCAGATTTTTCAATGTCACTATCAAGAGCTCACTGTGAATGTGTTGTATTCAAATGGTTAACTACACAGTACACTACACTTGACATATAATATGTACTTAATCTCTGGGAAGAATTATTTATAAACAATACATAGGTCAACAGACTCCAAGCAGGGAGGTAAATGAGAGTAAGTGGCTTTCATGTCTGTGTGCCACATACCATACAGAAGTATTTGTGCTCTTGGTCATGTATGTACCCAGGTCTTGTATTCTAAAAATTTCCATTTCAGTGTTTAGCACTTTTATTTCAAAAAGGACTCAGTTTCTCTAGTTTTTTATTTAGTGTTGCTTCCATTTGAAAACTAATCCAGGGTAAAATACAGAATGTTTGTATGGAAAACAAATTTCTACTTGTGGGAAACACTTAACCCTCTTTAAACAATTGAAACAAAACTAAATGAGAGATATCATAATATTTGACTTATGACAGTACTACAGATAAATTTTCTAGATCTGTTATTCACAGTATGTTTTATCTTCATGTTAGGAAATATTTTTAGAAATCCTGGGTATTATACTTAATTCTGGCTAACCAATTTTAAAACTTGTATCCTTTTGAGAACTTCATTAATAGAGAAATCTTTTATAAGCAGTAAAGTAAGAATGTTCTAGTGACTACCTTGTCTGATACCTAGTCTTATTAAAAACTTCTTTTGCAGGGCATTTTAGTATTTGGTTTACAATCAGTGCAGAGTGGGCAAGTTAACTCAAAGTTTGAGCTGGGGATACTGGTGAAAAGATCAAAGAATGAGCAAAGTAGCGATTTGTTTTGGGGAAACAGACCCCAGTAACTTTTCCTCATGTGTATGGTGCTCCTCATGCCTTGTCTTGTACTTTGCCTTTCTGATATCCATTATAACTGCTGCTCTCTTACGTTCTACCTTGCCCAGATCTCCCGTGTTCAGAAATGCTTTATGATCAACTGCCATAGGACTGATGGATTAACTAGTGTTTGGCTTTAATCAAAGTCTATGCCCTGCACAGATCTTACAATGTATTTTAGATGCTAGGAAGTTTTTAGCATGTGATGTGTGATTCTTATCTGAATGTTTATTACAGGTACCTTGTGAATTCCAGAAGAGACTGTGCCTCTCGGTTGGTCCCATGAACTTGTACTATCTTTCATGATAATATTAATACAGTCAGGAAAAACTCCTACTACTTTGGGATTTAAAAATAGAATCATACATCATGAAATTTTTAAAAAGTCTCTTCTGCCCCCTTCTCACTCTTCAGTAAGTTTCATTTATCTAATATGTAGGTGGTTGGGAAAAACCACTGGCCAAATGGTAGTTTAGTGGAACAAACTGATTACTATTTTTTTAAAAAATGCTACATCGCAGATATTTTCCAGTTTCTCTTTTTTACTTTTTTGAAAAATTACTTTTTAGGAACATTTGGTATAATGTGCATAAAATTATTTACAACTTATGGGCAAAATGATACAAGTAGCATCTTGATTGACCATCATTTACCTCAGATATTCAACCAGCAGTACATTTTTTTATGCAGTCTCAACCCATACCCTATTTGTTACCTCTGAAGATATTGGTAAGCAGTTATTTTAGCTTTACTCTGTATTTCCTGTCAGTGTTTTTGGGCACAGATTGTTGTACTACTGTCAAGTTGTACTTGCTATTTTTTTTCTGCAAGTATTTAACAGAAAGCTTAAAAAAAAAACCCCATTAAGATCCCACCTTCGGTAAGTGATTGTTAAATACTGTATAAATAAAATGTATGCTATCCCCGTTCCATCCCCAAGTTAAATAAAAAATGAATATGGTATGATTTGCATATGCAGTTTTTTTTTAGATACATGTTCTTGAAGAGGGGAGTGGTAGTTTTGTAATTTGTGAGGCCATTTCGAGATTTCCCAGAATGGACATAGTGGTGGAAGGGAGGTTTGTTCTTTATGACGTCTCTGTTTTTGTCTGAGCAGAAGTATTACCACCCGGGTATGTGTTGGTTCTGCCAGGATTAGAGTACACCAAAGGCTTGCTGGCATTGGATCACATTTCATGACAGTGGAGTCTCAGGATTTTTTTAGGATTTAAAAATAGAATCATACATCGTGAAATTTTTAAGTTGTTGTTGTAAAGGGCAGCACTTAAGTTATTTATGGTGGTTTGAAAGAAAATGTCCCCTTCTAAACCATATGAAAATGTGCATGGACCCTACTGAAAGATTGCTTTTCTACAGTATGTTCTGAAAAATATTCTTTATAGCATTATGATTACAGTAGGTTCCTGTTTCAACAACACAAATTTTAGTATTAGCTATGTGGCATGCACATCAACTAGACAAGGTCTTTTTAACAAGCTGTCATTTTTGGTGGGCCAGCTGGAGGGAATTCAAGTAAAAGCTACACTCAGCACTCCTGACTTCATTTGCTTTTCAGTCTGATAAACCTAGGAGCTTATAAATTTTGTTTTTGGCCGTACTTTCTTGTGTGTTTACCAGGTCTTTTCAGGTTGGTTTGTTATTTTACTAACGTATTTTATGCAAATTATGAGATGAAGTTAGTTAAAAATTTTTGTGAATACGTCTCAGCTTCTCTGTATTAGGGAACTAACTCCCACTTCACTGCCCACAACAATGCCTTTGCGTGCAGGCACATAGTTCATTGTATGATTTTTGTTAACCTATTTTGTCCTAACTTGTTTTGTAACTTCTCTATTACAATCCCTAAAAAGGAAAACCCACCTTCCCTCTTTTGAAATATGTACACCCAATTGGTGGATCTTTTATGGTTCCAAATGTAGTCCAGGAAGTATGTGTTAGGACTCCGAGCTTTAAAGTGGCATCTTAACTGGATTTGTACATCACAAATCATTTCATTGGGTTCTTTCTTTTTAAAGTGGGCAGTACTTTCCTACATTCACAAATTACTGGAAAATTATAATTCAAATGTTAAAATCCTTTTTCCTTCTAGTGGTGTTACCATGTTAACTATTTTGAGAAAATAGCCTGTACAACTGTGTGGTCTAGGGTACAGACCACACAGCCTGAGGACATAAGCTTGAGCCTTAATGAGACACTGCTAATAGGTAACCAATAGTGATCTGAAGACTTACAACAAGGCTTAATTTTTTTGTGGGGAAGGAAAAGCTACATATGCAAGATAATAGTTATTACAGAAAGGCTACTTCATGCACAAAAATCATATGCCACTATATTCCAAAAATTTAAAAGCCAGATAAACCTCAGAGTATACTTTTAAAAATGCTTGGCAAACAACATGTACTTCAGTTCTGAATAGCATGTTCTTGTTGTCAGTAAAACTGAGCTGAATTCCAGGGCCAGCCATTCTAAACCTGTGTGACTCTGGACACTGGCACTATTGTGTTAATTTTCTCAGCCGTAAAAAACATAAGCCACAGAGGGCTTTTTACCTCAGTCCAATGTATATTACAAAAAGATAGGAACTCTGTCTTTTTGTAAACATCCCACGATATAATGAAGTCAAATCCTCTTGAATTAACTGAAGTCACAGAGTGAATACTAACTTTCATTTTAAACATATAGTTAAGTCTGTAGATCTTTTAATTTTTAGGTAATGATTTGACATTTCTGTATTCCTCTTAGGGACTTACTTTTGATATAAATATTCAGCAGACCCTGCCAAATACTTCTTATCGTTTGTGGGAGTGGTTTGAATTTCTAAAAGTATCTGTTAAGGCAAATTCTGATCTATTAGGAATAACCTACATTTTTAAAAAATCCCACAAGAGATTCTTCTGATACAGTGTCAGTTTGAGAAGTGGAGAAATGTTCAAGTTCCTTGACCTTTTTCTCCCATCCTTTGTATAAACTGATCAGTCTCCTAAGTTGCAAGATATAGGGTCTGGGAAAATTTACATGTGCAAAGGAAAACAAAACTTTTTAAAGCACCTCTTAGAACCAAAAGATTACTTATCACAACTCAATTCTTACCATTGTTTTCTTACTGTTTACATTAGAATTTGTAAAATAACTGGCTGCCTGGCTGAAACGAACTTTTCAAATGGACCACATAAATACAATGTTTTAAAAAATGGTTTAATTTCTAAAATAATCACATTTTATTCTGTTGAACTGCTACTTACAGCACAGTCTAAGTCAATGACTGGAATTATAAATCATGTAATGGCTTGTAATTCAAAGGTAAGACACAGCCAAGATGTACAACAGTTTCTCAAATTAAAAAAAAAAGTTTATAAAATAAGGCAAAAAATGCAACAACATATCTTATAAAGGACAAATGGCTTTTAGGTCTTTAGTGAATCATGTCTGAAATGCCAAAAGTGAAACTATTCACAGCCAGCTTAGTGAGGATGTTGCCCACTGTCTAACATCTGTAGGGCAGTTGGGGTATTTCTGCAGAGCGTTCATAATTTGAGTATTATCCAAAAGTAGTTTCATCAACTGGTATTCTCTCTGTGAATTTACTGAAGTTCTTTCCAAGGGCTTTATTAATTCTAATTGTTGTAGGTGTTCAAAAGCCTAAAAGATTAAAAAACAAATAGTTTAAACAGGAGAACAAAGTAACAAAATCCAGAGAACACTTAAAAAGTTTTGGTTATTTGTGGAAAAGACAAAGGAATCAAAATCCTTAGTGTTAAAAAAATTCTCATCAACCACATAAAAAGCCATACTAATTATCAGATAAGAGAATATAAATTCATGGTCTCTAATCCTGTACTACTGAATGTAAACAAGGAAATTTTAATCCTGTCTTCACAAGGAGGTTTTGCTTCTAAGCTTATATTCTGCTTTCTTTGTGAATGTGAGCTAGGGTGGTGCCAGAGCAGACAGAATGACTCCAGCGCTAAGTATCTACTCTAACACTAAGCTAACTACCCCAACCTTTCCTTCTATACAGAACCGTAAGTTTTTTTCTAAAAACCGAACAATCTTGTAAGGCTTTCTAATTACTTTGACTATTCAAATTTGCACTTACATTTTGTTTCTAACTCTGTTAAGACTTTGCTCTGTAAAAGTTTAACACAGCTGTAACCAAGTGACAAGAAAGGCCTTAAGTACACCGGGCCTATTCAATTAGATCTTGTGAGTAGATGCTCTCACCTTAAAGAGTTAGTGAGATTGTCACAACCTGTCAACAAGCTTCTATATACATCTGCCTTACAGAATGCTTCACTGTTTTCTCTTACCCTAGACATACGTTACTCTCTTTCCTAACTTTTGATTGTGTAAAGTGTATTAGGGTATGAAAAAAACATTAAATTTTGTTCACAACCAGTAAGCAGTGATATACACTGGACAGACTCCTGAGCAGTCTATTCTTAGAACTTATTGTAAAAAAGTATCATTTGAATATATTCTCCATGTACTATAAAAATTCTTAAGAAACAATCTTGTGAAAATGAGAAAATGTTGGAACTAATTTTTTGAAAATGAGAAAATACTGGAACTGGACAAAACTGAGATTTAAAATATTCCCAGAGTGTGAAATATTTCCGTATTTAAAATGTAGACAAGACCAACTGAAAACTGTAAGAATTTCAATGTTTGTGTAATCTTTTTACTTCTACAACTCTACAAACCACGACTATGAGACAGATCCAGAGTTTGGGGGAGGGAGAATCCAATCTTCATTATGCCAAATAATGAATAAATGGTAATGCCCTATACTCATTTAAAAAAAATTTTACAAGGCATAAAACTGACGAGTAGGGCTTTTAGTGGATATCAAAGGAGTTAGGGGTCCACAGCTTAAATAAGTAACATGTTTATTCCCCTAAACTCCTTTAGAGCTTCACTGTTCACAATGAGCAATCAAATACATAAAATTTGGGCTCAACTTTTAATTTTATTTAAACTTAATACTATATTTGGTTCAGCTAAAAATGATACGTTTATAGAACAACTAAAAATGTAAATCTACTTTTTCAGTTACAAATTCAACGAATCAAAACAAATATTTCCAATAAATAACTTATAAATCACACCAAATTCCATTTTCTATTGTATCTTTGAAAAGTAGGTCATAATAACTGATAAATATTACAGCTAATTCTTTTAAAAGTGTGTATAAGTGCTAGAAAATCTAAAAGTACACAATATGGTTCAATTATTCTTCTGGTAGCCAATGGTATCCTGAAATAAAGTCAAGGTTCAAACTCATACCTTATCTGCCTGCCAAGTAACTTTCTCTTTATGGCCTCATTAGTCAATGAGATTCTCATTTATCTTATTGCTAGCTCTTATCTATATTTTTTCCCCACTGACCGCTGAGATTATAAACCAGATTCCTGGACTGGAAAGAGGCAGAGTTACTACAGTTTATGTGATAGACTACAATGAATACAGTGGAGCAGTAGTAGCAGCGCAACAGTAGTAATAACACCCTTGCAGGATGCAAGTGCTAAGAAAAGACAGCAGAGGGCAGTATTACCCCCAGAAACCACAAAAGCTTGCAGCTTTCTTCCAAATTAACTGAATATTTTATTTTTGGACAATTCTTGTCTGGAAAAAAGATTTCAAACATAAAGTTTAAAAATAAATGAATGTTAAATCTTGGTTTATATATTCAAGTTAGAGCTAAAAAATTTACTTGTCTGCAAAAAATAATAGCAAATCAAATCTTACCTTCATGACAACAGGTTTCTCAAAATTATAAACAGAATGGGCTTTCCTTTGAACAAACTTCTGAAACTCTAGAGAGAAAGTAATGACAGTAAGACCCTCAAAAAAGCAAAAGAGGAGAATCAGAAAGAAACCCCACCGAAGTCTCACCATTGTAGACCATTTGAAAATTAAAGGGCTCCTCTTCATAGATGTCGTTTAAATGTTTCATAGCTATTATAAGACAAATTTCCAAGACTGATAGTCCTACAGTAAAAGAAAACAAACTATGAATTGTACTTCAGTGATCACAAGATTGACTATTACGAGATAATTATATAAAGAAAACTGTCTCCCAAGGAGTAACAGAAAAGATCATCGCTTTAAAGAACAGAGGTCAAGATTCCTATAGATTCAAATATGTTGTAAACTCTATTATCTACAAAACAGTAAAACTCAACCTCTAAGTATACTTTTTAATATCTGAAAAATAAGGATCTTCCTAAACTTTCAGATATGCTATGGAGATTATCAAGCACTCACTGTATTGTCCACAGTAAATAACAGAAACCATGATTATGTTACTTCAAAATCACACAGGTTCTTTATTTATAGAATCAAAACACTTAAGGAAATTATATCCAAAATTCTGAGTGCAACTTTTTCCTCAGAAAGAAAAATGCTCATTAGATTATTAAAAGGGATAATGACTAATAGCAGATTCTCACCATGTACAATATTTGCTTTAGAATCCATGCTACAAATCTGGGCTGCCTCCATCAGATCTGCTGCAGTCATAAAGGGGTGTGATGCTGTTACTCGATTTAAAGCAAGCATCTATGGAAATGTAGACCAGAAAAACATTTTTTACTTGGGCATTTTGGAGATAGTTACTGACCAAATTAACTATTAGTTAACAGTTACTTAATTTGGATAATCTATTATTATGGGAGAAGAATGCTTGGTGAAGGTATTCTAAAATTTAGTCTTTTAAATTTCAATTTGTATGTCACAATTTCATAAATGTAAATCAAAAAAGGTTCTGTTGCTTGTCCTACCACTTCCCGCCTGCACTGCATTTATTTGATCTTAAAAAAACAAAGAGTATTTCCAAGAGAGGGATAAGAAAACTGACAATAAGAATACTAATCGAAACTCCAAACACAAACCAAAAAGCCCATCTTTGCCTTGTATTAACTTTTAACTCTTTTAAAACAATCATACAGCAACAGTTAGGGTAAGGCAGAAGTCAGTTATTTTATGTTTGTACAAAAAAGAAGCAAACCCCAAACCAAATTTGTATCTGTAAAAACAACTTGAAAGCCAATGATTTCTCATGTACTTTTATTTTTCCCCAAACTAATGAAGTTCCTGCACTAAGGTTCCCACTCAAATATCAATGTTTTCCTTTATTATATTGTCAGGAAAAATTAAAATTTATTTTTAAGATTTAGTAGATGAAAATGCACCATACCAGGTTAAATCTGAATTTCAAGTAAACAATGACATTACTCAGTAGAGATAAGTACTATGCTGGCTGGGACCAACACCACTAGCTCTTTCCCTTTCATTATGAAGTATTTATACACAAAACAGCAACAGAGATTCATGTATTTCTGACCACTTTAAGAAATATAATTTTATAGTTAAAGCTGGTCTCCTCTCCTGACTGGGATCTACCTTACATCACAGAAAACTACCACATATATCTTTAATACTTCATTCACCTCTACTACATATGCAGGTATTCTTAGCACACTACAAATATTTAAGTTTTATATAAATACTGCACTTTCCACTGAACATGAGAATTTATCCACGGTAGGGTGTCAATTCTAATTTATATGATACATACATTTATATAATACATTTACTCTAAAAATTTAGGCCACAAATTCTTTCATATTAGCATATGGCTAAGATGGCATTATATTTTTGATGGGCAGGATGGGGGACAAAGTAATAAAAGGGAGCATTGCTAAATAAATATGGCAGAGCCATGTAGTAAAGTAAGACAAAAACTTGCTGTAGTCGGCCTTTGATTGAGCTCTGGCTTTGAGATCAACTAGCTATGAGCAAGATTTTTAACCTCTATGAGACTAAACTTCTTTAACGTGCAAGGATAAAACACTTAAGGATAAAAATAGAATTACTGCAATGTTTAGACATATGTAGGATAGTAGCAGTATTATCTAGTAGATGAGCTAGTCAATAAATGATGGTTATTATTGTTGAATCTAACCATAAAATTCATGAAACAAACTATTTTCTCAAAAGTATTTGCCATAGATAACTTTCTAAATTGGGCTAATGCCAATTAACTCTTTGGAAAGAAGTTCTTTAATTTTCAGAACAATCAAGTAACTCCATCCATAACCAAATGGGACTTAGCCTATGTATGTAAGGCTGGTATAACCAAAACCCAAACAACAACAACAACAACAACAACAACAACAAAAGAATGTAATCCAACATATTAACATCTAAAGAAAAATTATATGATTGGCTGATCCAGCATTTGACAAAATCCAAGATTGATTCCTAATATCCTCAGCAATAATCTGAACTTAATAATGAGCATGTCAGAAAAAGAATCTATAATTAATAACATATACAAACTAAAAACCGAGTGTGGGCCAGGGCTATAGCAAAGCAGTAAAGTGTCTGCCTGGTAAATGTGAAGCCCTGGGTTCAATTCCTGGTACAAAAACAAAAAAACCAAATAAAAGAAAAAAAAATATTGAATGCTTTTCTCTTAAGATTGGGAACAAAGAAGGAGGTAGAGGCACACAACTGTATTTAACATAATGGTGGAAGTTTTAACAATTAGAGTAAGTCAGCAAAAAAAGGCACATGGATTGGAAAGAAAAAAAAATCCTAATTAAATGACTGCATTAAAAATGTGGATCTATTAATAAAACAAGTAAGCTCACTAATATCACAAAATATCAGATCAACACACAAATATCAATTACACTGGTATACACTAATAACAAACATGTTGGAGACAACAGATATAAGTTACAGTTACACAGGAACAATCAACTTTGGTATGTTATTCCACTGTAGGGTGACTAGAATATAGTATACCTTTCAGAAAGCTACAATGTTTTTGAAAGTTTTTATCAAAAATAATTAATGAGGACATAGATATGAAACCTAACTTAAACATTACCCATTGTATACTTGATCAACACATCACAAGATACCTATGTCTAATTTTTACGTATCAGTTAAAAATAAAACTAATTAAAAAGTACAAACCAATAACATGTGTAATGACCTCAGGTTTTTGCTGACGTTAAAATGCTTCAGTAGAACTTCTCGTACATTTTTATCTTCTGAAAGACCCTAAAGAAAAAATATTGAGCAGTACAGTTTAAATCTACATGTAGTTATGTATCATAAGTAGTCAGTATACCTTATCAACTATCTGATGTTTATTCATTATTACATAGGTATTAGCTGATCTAAAGAACAGTAAGATCAAAGCCAAATTTTCAGTCTACTGATTTTCTCCTCCCTTTAAGTTAACTTGATGAACACAAGAATGAAATGATTCTCGTCACTCCAAAATTTCTAAATTAGTAAGGGGAAATCACACAGCCATACTACTAGGATGAATGAAATGCAGCACAATATACAACAGTGAATGAATACTAGTACACTTGAAAAGTAAGTAGATTCTAGGAAGGTGTCAATCAACAGACAAAAAATGAAGAGGGAAGACCCTTAAGTTATGAGCAGTGAAGGGAACAGCATAACATACTGATATAAAACAAATAGTCCCAGGGGCTGGATATTTAGCTCAGCTGCATAAGCACATGCCTTGCAAACAGGTAGTGAGTTTGATCCCCGGTAATGGAACAAAACAAAACAAAACAAAACAAGTAGTCCCCTTTCCATCTCATACTAACACAAAACAAACAGTTCTCTGCACCTAAGCTTCAAGTATTTGCAAAGGGATAGTATACAAAGATAAAGGAAAGAAAACTTCATTGGAGGTAATTGCATTTATTCATATCAAAGATGAAGATATGAATAAAAGTGATGTAAAGAAAAGAATATTAGGAAATTTACAGAAGATAATCTGATGGAAAACCAACTGATAAAGAAAAGAAACTGACATATTTGAAAACGGGAAAACAAAAATCATGGATGAACTACGTAGGAAGGGACTCCTTATGAAGAGTGAAGTGTGATCAAGGAGTAAGCTTTGGAATACCAGTATGTGTCAGTATTAAATAGGTGGACAAAAGAACAAAGTGAAAAGAAAGGTAAATAATACACTGAAAAGTAATTCATGACAGCAGAAAACAAGAGAAGAAACTCTAAGAGGGAATTGGTGATACAGAGTGTAAACCTCTGTGTAATGTAAAACTAAACTGAGATCTAGATAACTTTTAGAAATCTGAAGACCAAAAGGACTCTGAGAAAGCAGTATCTAAATGACCCAAGAGACTCCACTGAATAAGGATTCAGTAGAAAGTGAGGAATATTTGGCACTGAAGAAAAAAAAAAAGAGATAAAATGAGAGTAGAGATAAAATGAGAGTAAACTCAAAGACAGCAGAATCATAAGAGTAAGAAAAATTGAAATAGCTTTTTAAGTATCATCTGTGTGAAACATATTTTCTTTATTATCTAAGCATTTCTATACTTGCTAGAGTTATTCCTATGTATCTTTCTTCCACTGTAAGAGGAGTCCTTTTTCAGGGAGACATACTAATCTAGTGGAATGAAATTTTATGTGTTTAATAAATATATCATACTAGGTAAAGTTTCCACTCCCTTTAATTTTTAATAAGCTCAATACTTTTAAAAGGTTACTGGTTATATTTTTAAAATCATAAACAAGGTCAAATACCTGTTGGAACAGATGAACATACAATATTAAAGTAATATAAATAAGTTTTAAACTTTTCCATGATCTTTAATTTTATATAGAAGAAACTTGAGAGGTATTATGGATAATTATAAGAAGCAAGTCTTTACTTCTGTAATCGTTGAGTTTCAGGGCATCATTTATAAAGCTTATGTAAAATTGGAACACTTAGGAAAACTAAAAAAAAAAGTCTGGGACAAAAATAATGAACACAAAATTTAATTATTTTTAAAACTCACATTTCACTTTCTTTGACATGATACTTTAAAGGGTTAATCTATGTTCTGCCTTCTAAATGTATCTCTGTATTTTTAGTGGTCTGCCTCAAATTGCTTTTGACAGCTATCACTTCCTTATTTGCTTACTTAATTTTTCAAGAAAATCTACATTATCTATGTGTATGTAATATCATTATAAAGATTCTTCAAAGAACTCAAGTAAGAAATTCTGTATGACTCATCTACTACCTATTAGATGTATTCCTCAAAGAGCTTACACCATCATACTACAGCAACACATGCATAGCAATATTACAGCAGCCCAATCTGTAACAGCTAAATCCTGGAGTATCAACAGGTGACTGGATAAAGAAAAATGTGGTATCTATGTATAAAGGCACACTACTTGGTTATAAAAAAAAAAGTCAAATTTGAGACATCTGTGGGAAAATGGATGCTCCCGGAAAATAAATGTTCAGAAATCAATCAGACACACAGGTTTAAATATCATATGGTATCTTTCATTTGAGGGAGGCAAAGTATAAGGAAAATGATGGATGGATCTCTTGCAAATACAGAAATGCTGGGAGAGAACAAGGGCAAGGGGTGAAGAGGAAGGGAAGGAGAAATATGAGTAATAAAGATATGTCAGGTACAGGAACCTAATAAACCCAATTAATGCAAACATTATATGCCATGATATGAACTAAGACAAATTATATTAACAAGAATGAAAAATGGGATAGGGAAACTGTAGAATCGAGGAGGGCAGGAGGGATGGAGAGAAGGAGGAAGGAAGGGAGGGAGATTAAGACAAAAAAGAAACTTAACGTACATACAATGATTTACTAGGATGATTATAAATTACATGAACTATAAATGCACAAATGAAGTTTTTTAAGTGATGGCATTTGAATCTCTTAAACACAGAAAAATACATTGTTAGAATGAAATCCTACGATTAGAGACAATATCAAACAAAACTAAGGTAATTTAACTAAAAAATGTCAATTTCTGACAGCAATTAATCCAGCTTAAATGGGGAGACCCATATCTAATTATATCAAGGTATGATATATGAATTTTAAGAATAAAATCAGGCATTTTAATGTACAATCCTGTAAGGTATATTAGAAAAACAGTGGGCAATTATGAATCAGAATCAGTGAAAAAAGTAAAAGAAAAAAAGTATGACATAAGGTGAACCCTTCAGACAAAAATAAACAGTATGCATGCAAGGTTCAACAAATACCCTATAATAAGAAAAGAATGGACACAGATATAAGGGAAATTTTTATTTTTTACCATGTATTCTATAATGAAATAACTGAAAAGTGATGACATTTTTCAACATTTTATGATTTAACAAAAATCAACTGTGTCAAAATTAGTAGTGTGTATATGGCCAGATTATATAATCTGGGATTATAAAAGATCATTCTAACATTAAAATAAATGCAAAATTCCCCCTTTAAACTGGTATTCATATCTAAGACTTTTTGGTGAAAAAAATACAATCTAGCATTATTGCTTTATCATAAAACAATTATTTTAGAATCAATGAATATAGACTGTGATAAAAGGCTAATATTTTCTAATGTCACAGGATCTGTATTTTTTATACTCTACCATGAGGGAATTACTAAGAACATCAGAACTACCTTCCCTTAATGTTACTGAACACGTATTTATATACACATTCCCTTCCTTCTCCCTGCTAGCTGAAATTTGTCAACAAATTAACTGACACTAGTGTAAAAAAAGATGTAGCTTAAGTTGTTCCACAAACACAAAGTAAGCATAAAGCATTAACTGAGTTTTTGTTAAACTCACAAAATTTAAATTATGCAAATTAACAAAATTATCTAAACTATAAACCACAGAAAAAGAAGTTATCACAAACGTTTTAAATAAATGAAAAACTTTACGGTTTACTTGAAACTACTGGTGTGGGCTGAGGATGTAGCTCAGTGGCACAGCATCTGCCTGGCAAGTGTGATGCCCTGAGTTGGATTCCCAGTAGTGAAGTGAAACAAAGGAAAGCAATGGAAAGGAAAGGAAAAGAAAGCAAAGCAGAGGACAGGACAGGACAGAACAGAACATACTGATGCAAGTGCTACAGTTCAAATGTGAAATTCATTCAAGAGAAAGAATTAAGGATACATATTTTAATTGATTTCATTAAAAAGGGTATACAATTTGCATTTTCCTAATCACAAGAGTAAAATTAAAGATTTTGCGTTAATTTACAAATGTTTTAAATCTGTAATTTTGTTTTAAACCATATAGTGTATGGCTTTTATCTAGATGCTGCCTCAGTACCATGATATAGGTGGGGGTTTTCGCAGCTGGCTGATGTAGGCCATGTGACAATGGGGATTAAGGATTCTTGGTATGATTCCAATCAGTTCACTGATTGGAATTGGTATAGTTCTGGGTGTGGCTAAATGGATTTTGACTGAAGCTTTACCCCAGGTGTAGGTAGTACCACCCAAAAGGCTTACAGCCTGGATGGGATGAAGAAGGGAAAGGAGGGCTATTGGTGCTACTTTGCTGTTTGTCACATCACAGATTCTTTCTCCGCTATGATGCTCCTCTGCTTCATCACCCTGCCTTGGACACAGCTGACTGAGAACTGAAACCTCTATGAACTTTGAGCTGAAATAAACCTTTACTCCTTTAACTTGTGGGTGTCTAATGTTTTGTCCTAGCAATGAGATAAATAACCAAGACATATAACAAGACATAAATTACTTGAACATTATTGCCTTCAAGTTACCTGGATGTTTTCATTCCACTTTTCAGCAAAAAGCTTATCTGGAAATTCTGCAGGTAGAGATAATTGTTCTTTAAATATTTTAACATACTGTGGAAAACCAAATGAATTCATTAAGTGTATCTGCCGGTGAGAAAATCGTGACTTCACTCTTTTTTCTAGGAGTTCCAAAATATCCTTAAAAACAAACAGAAATCCCTGTAAGATGCAGGTTTAAAAAACATGGCACTAATGGTAGAAGTATAAGTAAACTATTACACACAATTAGTAATGCTTATTCTATGGTATGCAATCCAGCATTTAAAAAAAAAATTTATGGGAACTAATTCTGTTCTAGGCATTTGTAGATTTGGTCATGCTACATCTTTTCCCTGCTACGTTGCCCTCAGCTAAAATGTAACATTCCAAGATGTACAATGATTGCTAATAAAAAACTCTGAATATTACTGAATATTTATATATCACAGCTTAAGCATTTCAATAAGAAATTCTATACATTCTGTGAAAAAGTCAGATAAAAAATTGAGAAGATAAAATACAGTGAGACTCACTGCACGTCTTTTTTCTATGTAACAAACAAAAAAAGCAAAATGTGTATCAGAAGAAAAAAGTTCCATTTGCGAAACTACTCTCAAAATTAATGTGTTGTGATGAGTAAAAGGAACCAAGTATAGAATATGAAACAGACAGGAAAACAGACAGCATGATACTGTTAACTTACTCATCTTATGGTTTGTATAATGATGTATTTAGAAACTGCACATCTTAGGAAGAAATCAAGAATCAAATTTATAGTCAAGAACACTAGAAAATAAAGGCAACTAATAATGTACTACTTATAAGAAAATTTTCTTGGATGAAAGAAATACTGCCCCAGAGTTGATATGCACTCAAAACTATGAAAGATAGCAAAAGTATAATAGGTAAAGTTTGCCTTCTTATGTCATACAGATGAGTAGAAATTGTCATTACTAAATCTTTTAAAACTGAACTTGAGGTACCTTTTGAAACAAGTTGTGGTACATGGATAGTGTTGACATGTCACCCAAAAATTTCACTAGCAGATGTAAGAACCAGTAATAAATAAATATGGTATATATACACTGTGAAATATTAGACACAAAGAAGAAAGAAGCCCTGCTACTTATAGCAAAATAAAGAAAGTCAAAGGCCATTCAATTAGGTGAAATAAGCCAGACATAAAGACATACATCACGTTCTCTTGTATGAGGAAGGTAAAAACTTTACAGTGAACCTAAAATACTGGTTACTAGAGACTAGGCAGGTCTTATGGTAGGGAAGACTGAACAAAAAGGGTTGCTGGATTTGATCAGCACATGCTGCAGGCATGCATGCATAGAAAAATTACACTGAATCCCACTAATACAATTAACAGAAACACAGAAAAAATTTAAGGACTAAAGAAAAATGAAAAACTGTAAATGAATGTTCATAACAGCATTATTCCTAAGTTTTAAAAATGCAAATAATCCAAATATCTATGAATTGTGGAATGAACAAACTGTGCTGTGCAGTAGCATTATTGTTTACTTAATGATAAAAAGAAATTCAGTTATATATATTACAATACAGATAAAACACTGAAAACATTAAGTGAAATAAACTACTCATAATTTTATGTCATATGGTTGAAGTTATAAGAAATGTATGTCCACAATAAATAATTATATAGAAAACAGATTTGTGGTAGTCTAATGCTAGAGTAAAAAGGCAGAGGGAGGTAGTTGGGTAATGGCTAAAGGCCCTCTTACACTGTGTAGATGCAAAATTGTGAACATAAAAGCCCAATGAACATGTTTTAAAAGAATATACTACATGGTTTATAACATCTCAATTATGTTATTTTAAAAATATGAATACTAATGTGATGCATGATGAACTGAAGGAATCACTGCTAATATTTAAGGCTTACCAACTACAATAAGGAGATGTATTTTTAAAGTTAAGTCCTTGTCTTTTTTTTAAATTTTATTTTAAAGAGGGTAAAATTAAATAGAACAAAATAAATCATAAGAAAACAATGTAAGAGACACAGATTTCAAAGCAAGACAACCAGAGATCTTCACTGTCCATCATATTGTCTCGTTTTCTTCCAAATCTTTGTCCATATCTTCACATAAAGTGAATTCACACAAAACAAAATAACATAAAACTGATCAGAACAGGATGATGACGGCATTTTAAGTCTTCAAGACCACAAAATAAGGAAGTCAACAATGGCTACCATAGTGTCTCTCATTTTCTTCAAAATAGCTGTCCATACCTTCACATCTGTTGAAATTAAACAAAACAAAACCGACTAAAGTCACTCTGAACAAAGATTAAAAAAATATGGAACACTTCATGAATTTGTGTGTCATCTTTGCACAGAGGCCATGGTAATCTTCTCTGTATTGTTCCAATTTTAGTTTATGTGCTGCCGAAGCAAGCACGAGTTCTTGTCTTCTGAAAATAGGCTTTGAAACACTGATGAAGAGGCTTTGCACCTACTTTTGTCTCAAAACACAGGTATAGAAAAGAGATACAAGAGGAAAAGTGAAACCAACTTACAAATGTTGCAGCTGGATGATAAATAAGCAAGGAGATTGAGTCTCATCATGTTTTCTCCTATATGTATTGAGATTCTGTAATAAAATTTTCTTTTATAAAAGAGGGTGTAGCAAGATCCAGAAATACAACATGTTAAATCCAGTCAAATGATCTGAGCTTCATAGTACGGCCATTAAGAAGCACTGATTCAGAGGAAAAAGTTGAGTATGGATGGTTGAGGGAGGAGTGCCGGTAAGGCTAATACTTTCAGGTAGTGGAAAGAGGAGACAAAAATTCAAAATGTTTTATACAGTATAGTTGCCAGCATGAAAATTAAAAGAGGCAATCATGTCTAGACACAGCACATCTATTCTCTATTAAGGAGGAAGTCTGCATTAGACAGTGGAAAACAGTGAAACTAATACCCTATGCAACAATGAAGTCTCAACAATGAAGAAAGAAGGGGGGGGGGGAGAAAAAGAGGAAAGGAAGGAAGACAGGTGGGGTGGGGGAGGGTCAGAGAGAGGGAGAAAGAAAGAGGGAAAGATGCTTTAGTTATGGAAAATCAGAACACAAGTTAGCAAAGTGGGACAAAAGGAATAGGGAAAAAAGTAAATTATTTTCAAGGAACAAAAGGTTGCTTGGTGGGAAAGCACTTATTCCATCTACCCTTTTTTTTCTTTTCCCTACAAACATATTACATAGGAAGATTTAATTTGAAAGAACCACATAATTGGAGACTGTTATGGTATATACACTGTAAAGTTGAGAAGTTTATGAGCGTAACTAAGGGATTCAGCAACTCTACCTAATGAGATATAGAGGACAAGCTATTACCATTATGATATTGTTCACTGTGTCAATTTATAAATTTCAGAAGTTTAAGTGATTCAGTAGGGGGCCAGTGTCCTTAGTTTGTAACATTCTCAGTCTGTGCAGAAGGGCACTGAAATGGTGGAATGCTAGACCAACCCTAGGGGAGGAGCCTACATACAATAAAAGGCAAATGAAGAGGGAATGGTTGCTGGTTCTTCTGAGGAGCTCTTTGCCTTAAGCTTGGACATCCTCTCCTGGCTTCTGGCACAGATGGTTTGGCTTCTGCCTGGGGACTCTTCAGCCTTTCTTGTTGTACTCTTTAACCTTTTGTTGTAGATTCTTCAGTGTTCCCTTGCAGACCCATTGGCCTCTTGATACAGACTTATACTGGATACAACAGTAAGCTCGAGCCCTTGGGGCTGGACCCTGCAGCCTCCGGTGTGCAGATACCTGCTGCATGCTCCTTCATCCAACTTTGTGGCTGACCACTATAAGCCAATCTTGTAATTTCTTAAACATCTGTGTATCTTGTGTTTTATCTGTTTCCTTAGCAAACCCTGACTGATACAGAGACTTCTACATATAGAATAAAAATATCTGTGGTTACACTGCTACTGAGCTACTGCTGACTTTCAGTTTCAGTTCTGAGCTCAGAAACATCTGGCTCAGAAACATTTGCACTGCCATCTCCACCCAAAGAAATCTGTTGGTTCATTTTTAAGGAATAAAGATACAAGGAGTACCAGCCAGATGTTCTAAGAAGGCACGACATTCTAAGTACTATAGCACACAAGGGAAGGAGGCAACAGCATTTGAAGAATTATTTAAAGTTGACTTAGTAAAAGGTTTCACTTTTCTAAAAAGAAGAAAAAGCTATAGGAAAGGAAAACAAGTAAAAAGGGCCTCACACAAGTCCATTAGGAACGCAGAGGGGAAAATGACAGAAAATTGTGGATATGACAGTCACGATATAAGAAAGATGACTCAAATATCAGGTTTATTTGAATTCAGCAGGAAAATTCATACTATAAGAGCATGACAACACAAGCTCCAACATATTATATAGCCTTCATCACGTTAGGTAATTGTGATGCTGGGACTGTGGTAGAAATCACTATAAAATCTCCCAAGGAATGAAGATGCCACTCAACTGTTACTGTTTAATATAAAGGATTTCTTTACTTCTGGAGATGCATACTTTGTTGAGATAATATGATTTTGAGTTGCTTTCAAGCACTTTTTAAATATACACACACAAAATCAAAGAATTATAGAGGAATTATCAAATTTTAAAAGTTTTATAAACATTATAATCAATTTTTAAAAAATGACTTACCAATCTACATGTAAGACCAATAACTGCTATTGGCGTCTGTGCGGACTGAGAAATGTCAAAAAGATTATAGAGCAGTGTCTGGTTTTTATGATGAGCAAAAAGATCAAATTCATCTAATATGAAGATCACTGGGCAACTACTACTCCGGTCACCTAAGAAATTAAAAAATTTACATTAACAGGCAATTATACCAACTTCTCTGAAATTTCCAAACTATTTACTATCTTTTAACTTCTAAAAGCAAACATGTATCATCTACTTCATAAAACTGTAAAAATATACTGATTATAAAGTAATAGGTAGAATGATTTCTGTCTTGCCAAAAAAGTATTCTATTTATGTATCTGTTACAATGATATGTGGCAGGTGAATAAAAATTAAAAATCAAATATTACTTGAGGAAATTACTGCTGTATTCTTTTATTTTCTGTATTATGTTTATTGGGGAATAGCATATATTACCTTAATAATCAAGGGGGAGAATCAAATTAAAAGTACTTCTTTGGTACTGTTAAAACAAATTAATTACCTTTTTTCAAAGCTTCCAGAAGAAATGCAAAGTTTTCAGCAAAACTTCCCTAAACAACAAAAAGAAGGTAATAAAACAGGTTGTTCAGTAAATGAACGATGGTTGATTCTCAGTGTTTGTACAAAAACTACTTTTTTTTCTAGTAAATGAGTGACTGATCAGACTCTCAGCTGTCTCTAGTAAAACTTAAATATGAAAGCTGAGATGGCACTGTATACTATGTTACGTTTGAAATTTTGTATTTTCCAGACAAAACTGGTAAAACTAAAAATTTTAGAGAGCTGATATATTCTAAATAAAGTCTGGAGACCTAAAATGCATTCTACTTTGTATCTTTAAGTGTATCAAGCTCCATACCTATTAATTTAATTTGTACCACCAAAGATTACCATGATCTTAAATGGAGAACCAAAGGAGATAGGGAAAATTTACTTGACATATTTGATAGTATGATTCTGTTTATTTCACAGCAAAATGAACTTTATTAAATCACATGGAATCTAGCTATGTTTATTTGGAATACAGCCAACATATTTTGGATAAAAATTAAATATTCTACATGAAATTTGAAAGTAGTAGATGTATTTATTCGAATGATCCACATTCTAGGTAGAAATTCCTTTGAAATATCTTTTCATTACAGTTAGTTTTTATTTTATTCAGATTGTTTTCAAGGATTTGCCAACTTTAATTATAGAAATGTAAAAGAAAAAACCCTACTTGTTTCCCAACTGAAAGATCAGATATAAAATAGCGTAACTGGTTTTTAAGAACTTTCACATATTGTGATAAAGACATGCTATTACATTAGTACTACTTTTGAGGTAGTGTAAAAGGTACTATCCATAATGTACCATAATAAAAGAAAGGCTCAAAGAAAATCTATTGCAAAGTCAATGGTCAAATGATTCAAAGTAGTTTATCATGGCTTCTGTTTAAAACACCATCATTATCTAGCATTAAATAAAAATCTATACATAAGCATGTATACATATATAAAATAAAGCTGTGAGTATATCCTTATAGACATAATTTTTTTGTCTATTACGTAATACACATTTGCTTTCTAAAGTGTATCAAACATAAAAGCTCTGGATTGAGTGACTTATATTCTTAATGTACAGTCTCTTCTATTTTATAACCTTAGGGAAGCAAATAATGCTCACCTAGCCTCAGATAACTAACTATATAATGGCGTTAAAATGATAATAATCTCTATATAGTCATCCCTCATTATCCCTGGAGGATTGGTTCTAAGACTCCCAGTAGATTGCAAAATCTATGGATGTTCAAGTCTCCTTTAGTAATGTCATACTACTTGCATATAAACCATACATACTGTTTTAGTTATTTGTCTCATTGCTGGGACAAAATACCCAAAATCCAAAGTTAAAGGGGGAAAGGTTTATTTAGTTCATAGTTTGTAGAGGTTTCAGTTCATAACTGGCTAGTTTCAAGGCAGGGTGGCTTGGCAGAGAACAGTTCATGGGGCCCAACAGACAGTAAAAACAACAAGACAGCCAAGACTCTTTCCATCCCTTATATTGTATGTAGGCTGCAATAGGGCGGCTATGGCAGGTGCAGCACTTTTACCCTTAATCCTAGCCAGAACTATGCCAAACCATGTTTTACTAATCACATGCGCTTAAACCCAGCATCATACATACTAGATTCTGTTACTCTGAAAAGGCTCTATGACCATATGAGGCTTTGGGGGAACATATAGACACAAACCATAGCACATACTTTATCATCTCTGGATTACATGTAATACCTATTAAGATGTAATGCTATATAAAAAGTTGTTATATTATTCAGTGGATAGTAACAAAAATGTCTGTACAGGTTCAGTACAGACACAATCTTTCATCTTTTTTTTTTTTTTTTTTTTTTTTGTCTTTTTCCTTTTTATCGGTACCAGGGATTGAACTCACGACTGCCTGCTTGCAAGGCCAGCGCTTATGCCGCTGAGCTAAATCTCCAGCCCCTACAATCTTTTATCTTGAAAACTTTCAATTTGCAATTGGTTACTATTCAGGTTTGAATTAAAACATATACCCTCAAACACTCATGTATTCATATGTGGGATTTTTGGAAAGGTATTTACATAATTTGTGTAACTCAATGTGGAGTCACAGCCTAAATGGAGGAAGCAGGTCACTATGCTTTTCGATAGTATATCCTGTTCCTAGCCCCTTCCTCTCTTTCTCACTTTACTTCCTTTCCTTGCTTCCTGGCTGTCACCAAGTTATCAACTTTCTTCTGTCATGCATTTCTACCATATTGTTTCCACTTTGGGACTAGCTGACCATAGACTAAAACCTCTGACTGAAACCGTGAGCCCAAACAAACATCTCTCCTTTAAAATATAGATGACAATGTATTTTATCCCAATAACAAAAAGTTAATATAACTGCCTATATATATGCAAACAAACAGCTGACTGCATGTGATGACGATAACAACACTGATAACTAGGATAGGATGATAAAACAACTGTGTCTTGTTTTACAACTGTGCTTAGAGTTGAAGACTAACTTAGGCACTACATCCTAGATTAGAGTCAGAACATTACAAAAGTGGCATTTTGAACTGGCCTTCAAAGTCCTGTAGAGAACAAAAGGCTACAAATGGCAACAAATGGTTGGCTAAACATTAAAAATAAATAAATAAATAAATGGACACTTCCTAAATGCTACAGTTTTATCACTGCAGCACAGAGAACATACTTAAGACATTACAGTGACAGAACAACTTAATCATCAGCAACCAGAAAAATTAACATAAATGTATATATATTCTCAACCAAATGTATAAGCAGCATGAAAGGTAATTTCTAAATGAAAATGAGGACCCAAATCCTATTTTCTGAGGCCTAAAATAGTAGACAATTTAAATGCTTAATGAAAGTTTCAAAACACTTCAAATCCCATTAAGTTATTGATGTTCACTGTCTTGACACTGTAAGCTGCATGATAGTGGGCTATGAATAAATTTCTGAAAACAATAAAAACAGAACACTGATATTTATATTGCACATTATTGCTGAGGAAACTATTTGTTTTCATTTCAATAAAAGACAATGATGATTTTTTCTTTAGAATGATTATTTGGAGTAGGTATAAACAAATAACACTCAATACATTAATGTCTCCGAAATTCAGAGACATTGTTTGGCTGGAGACCAACAGGAAGGCAAAGGCAATCTTACTAATTTATTATAACTTCAAATTTAGCACATTTTTCTATTATGCCCATGCCACCCAAATCTCGGAATACTAGAAATACACTATCATTTAAAAGAGAAGTGTTACTTATTTTATAAAGGAACAAACTCCAAATACCTATATAAACCTAGATTAGCTACTATATAATTACTATTACTCAGAAATCTGAGTCTGATATGTGCATGTATCTTAGTACATTAACTATTTTTATGACAAGACTCTTAAATGTGAATCTCTGATCCCTTCCTCTAACCTTTCAAAAACGAAAATGACTCTGCTAAACACTTTACAGTGTATTTAATAAAATAACTGAAATGATACATACAAAAACTTTATCTCCCACTACATTTTCGAGATGTAACTGCCTTGTGATTTCCTCCAGAGCAATTTTATCATTGATCTGCAGCAGTCCTGAAATACAGCCCATTTGACACGGTTATTTTCCAGTCAAGTGTATATTCCAATGCTTTTAAAATTTAATTAAAAAGAAAACAATCAAAATCATAGTATACATTACTTCCTTCTAAAAAACCATCAATAAGGACATGTGGTAGAATCAAAAAACAGACTTTCTTGGGGATATTATTGCTTGGAAAAAGTAGTACTTCTTAATATTTTTTTGGTTTCTAAAAATAATGTGTATGGTTTGCTAAATTACAGTATGTTAAAACATAGATCTCATTTTAATAATGTCATTATTTGTACAGATTTAAAACATTCAAGTGAGTTTACTTTTTCCATATAAAAACTATACGTGGTTTATTTACACAATATCTGGTGGCAAAATTAAGAAATACTTACCATTTAGATAAACTTGTAATACATTTTCACTCACTTCTTCTATTTCCATGAGTTCTCTTAAAGCGTGATTTATTAACTAAATATAAAGTTTATAAATATTTAAATATAGGGCAAAGATGAAAAGTCCCAGTTCTTTATAAAACTATTAGTTGTACAATCAGAACACAAAAATTGCTCAATAATAGTTTGTAGATAAAAACTTTAACTAGAACATCTTATATCTGATTATTTTTAAGACACTATAGTCACAAAAAACACACATTCTCAATTTTCTACCCGAATTTGTCTACCTCAACTATAATTTCTTAAGAATTTCCATGTCTGAGTACATTTTATTAACAGATACTCTGCTAACTATCATTAAAACCAGTTAAAGGTACTAAAAAATATAAATCAGAACAGTGCTAACCAGTAGTCAAAAGTCTACCCCTCAACAGAACAATTCCTAGGGAAACTAGAATTACTTTGTACATTATGTCATGAAAGAACAAAACTTAGAAGTTTAACTGAAAGAGGAGATATATCAGTACACAAAGTCCTTATTAAAGTCACCTACAGAATGAAATTTAAAAAATGGTTACTACCAATAATTACTACTAAAATATATAGCTCTACTCAAAGTGTTATAGCATCTTAAATTATTTCATTAGTTTCACATTTTTATTATCTATGCCACATACTTAAGTGTTTCTGATGAAGCATCTTGTAACTCTTATATTGCAATATATGCATTTATCATTACCACAGCACATATTTTGTTAAAATTTGAAAATAAACAGAATTAAGAAAAATTAAAAACTTTTCAAAAGAGGACTGTTGAGGAACTATTCCTTCTTATGTCACAATAAAAGAGTACCCTCACAAAATAAATGGTCTAGAAAGAGCCTGAATATACAAATGTACTAATGTAGATGACATAGAAATTTACTAAGGACAAAAAGGATTATTTAACAAAGGTCATGAGACAACAGGTATGCTATTTTTTAAAAGTAAAATACTATTTGTACTTGTAATACGTTATTACTATTTGTGATTGCATCATCTTTGTGGAAAAGGAGAAAAACTTATCCTGATTTTAAATCGTTAGGTTTCACAATTGGACATGAAGGATACCAACTATTCCTGGTATGTCTGTATGGTTTTCAAAGAACATAGAATTCTACTTTAGATCGTAGGCAGTCTATGTCCTCCTAAAAAGGAAAAATCTCAAGTTATTACTGCCAAACTACACTACTAGTAGCCCAGCTGAGGAAGTGACCCTGACCCAATGAGGCAAGATAGTATTTCTCTGGTTCAGCTTAGACCCCATCACAGTGAACATCCCTATAGGATACAAATCTGATACTGCAAAATATTTTTTTCAGCATGCTTTTGGTAGTATTCTACTATATTCTTTCCTTTCTTATATTTTTACTTATACACTATTTTCTTTGAATCTGATTTTAATTCATAAATCATTTTATATTTTGTTATGAAAAACATTTTGAATCCATTAAAAAATGTAATACATTAGTCACATTTCATTTGACATGTCATAGGATTCTTTCCATTGAATTCAAACCTCAATTTATTACTTGCCTATATTTGCACAATACTATCAGAATGTCATTTTTGTATGGTCAAAAATGATAAACTAAATATATTAGGAAATGTATCTTCAAATAATAATTTTAGTTCCGGCATGGATATTGCTAAACTTTATTCTATAGTTAGCTAGGTAATCAATAAACTCCATATTTTAAATCATTTTTTTCCATAGATACACTGTATCTTTTCAAACACTTCATATTATAGGGTAACAAAAATATGTAATGTTATTAATGTTACAATTACCAACATAACCAATTTGGTTAAGTACTTTCTAAATCCCAGAAATTACTTTTACCAATATACCAGGATAATTTTTATTGGATCTGCCAAAATCTAAGGACTTTTATGCTTATCACTTATTACTCTTTTCAGATAGTATAATGAACTCAAGTCATCAATATACCACTAGAAAAAACATCCCATCGTTTAGCAAGTTTATCTATAGTAAATCTAGTAGATAACTATTTTCGTCATCAATATACCACTAGAAAAAACATCCTATTTCATCGTTTAGCAAGTTCATCTATAGTAAATCTAGTAGATAACTACTTTCAAGGGCTCAACTTGTCACTTAGAACTGTATCTGTTTTTAATCACTTACAACATAAGCCACATTATTTGCTATCCTTTTTAATGAATTGTAGCTTTTGCATATTTACATTTCAACTATTTTGGACAAAGATAGAGTTTTTATGTTTTTTAATTTTGATTTTTAAATTTTTGTTTCATATAGATTAACATTTTGATTCTTACATTTCTGTAAAATTAAAAAGACTCAGAATACACAATTTTGATAAAGAAACAAAATTAAGAGCTCCAACCTTCCCCAGTTCCAAAATTTATCACAAAGTTACACCAATCAGGACAAAATGGGATTGATATCAAGATAGGCAAGCCACCCAAAGTACCAATATAAAGTCCCAAAATAGATACACAACAAACATTTGATTTTTGGCAAAGTTGTAAAAGCAATTAAGTAGAGAAAGGATTGTATTCTCAATAAATATACGGGGACAACTGAATATTCACATGCAAAAACCCCAAACCTTATAGCACATCAAAACGTTCTTAAAACATCCCAAAGTCAACTCAAATTTTTTTTTTTTTTTTTTAAAGACAGGGCATCCCTATGCTGTTCAGGCTGGCCTTGAACTATCATTGATTCTCCTGCCTCAGCTCCTGAGTGCTGGGATTACAGGCATGTGCCACCATGTCTGGCTTGTTACCTTTTAAATATACTGTAATCCCATTTTTAATCTGATTTTACAAAAGGTACTATTGAGATGTCTAAGAAAAAAGTATATCTGAAAATTTGTTGAACCTTTTTCATATCTCAGAATACCCTTGATACACAAATTACAAAAGTGCCACAAGTTAGTGTGTCCCATGTCTTCAGTCTCTCTCTACTGAGTACAGCATGGGCATGAGTAAATTATAAAAACAGGGGATTCCTTCAGAGTTTAGTGAAGTTATGCTAGATAAATGATTTTATAGCACTAAGCATAGTTTCAGTTTTAGTTTAGTTTTTTTTTTTTTTTTTTTTTGTATTTCTGCACAAAACAAAAGTAAAATTAGACAGGCCTGGCTGCACGTGCTTGTAATTCCAGCATGCTTTAAGGCTGAGCCAAAAAGATCACAAGTCTGAGCCCAACGTTGACAACTTAGTGACTTATTGAGACCCTGTCTCAAATAAAACATTAAAAAAATGATAGAGGCATAGTTTAATGCAATGGTTCTGTGCCGAGTCCCTTATAATACCACAAAATAAATGAGTCAATGTGAATGTAATTCCAAGCAGGAAAAATCAGATCCAAGAATTCAATTCTTAGCCATGCTGTAAGTTATATAAAATAAATAATAGCTCAGTAAAAACTACCCAAATAGACACTGAAGTCAAATTCTAAGGAAACCACAGTAAAAACTCAAGAATATGAAATATTAATTACAGAAACTGAGCATGAAGACTAAAAAAAGTTAGATCCAGATTAAAAATGGTTATAAATATATTATGAAAAGTCTTATTATTAAAAATACCTACTCTCAATTTATATTTTAAACTACAACAGAAATGAGTGACAAAAATAAAACTCTAACTTCATTTTACAGAATAGAACCAACATATATTACTTTAAAAATAAACTGTGAAAAAAAAGACACGTAAGTCTACATATCATATGCTTTCTCCAACATGAAAAACTCCAAAACTATAAAAAAGAGCAAAAATTGATAGGTAATAAAAAGTAGAGATATCTTTCTCAAATGCAAAGGGGATTATGAGATAGAGGGCAGGAAAAGGGAAGGAAGGAAAGAGGAGGAAAAAAAAAATTAAGATGTGTTATGTATATGTATCAAGTCCACACAAGCAATATAAACATCATGTACTGCAAATACGTTCTAATTGAAAGAAAAAAAAATGTGCCACCAAGAAGGAAAGGCAGGATCATAACTTTGAGGCCAGCCTAGACAACTCAGGGAGACCCTTTCCCAAAATAAAAAGTACAAAAGTGTTAGGAATGTGGTCGAGTGGAAAAGCACCCAAGTTTGTTCAATAAACCCCGACATTTACACACACACACTTCTCTCCCATACAAACGCACAGTAATTTTACTTGTTTTCCATGTTTTAAAGTATAGTCAGAAGCAAACATTTATAAAAATTAATTTTTGTACAGAAGATACTAAAAAGATTTATAAAACTCAACTTAAAGCTTATCAAAAGTTAGCATCCATAATTTATCTCTTATACTGAATAAAGAATATGAAAGAAAACAATGAAGGTGGAAAAAAGCAAGAAATTCTTTTTGAGGTAACAAAACAAATATGATAAGTAGAAGAAAACTACTGACAATAAGAAAAAACTGCTTTAGTTAAATAGTGAAAGAAAAAACCAGTAAAAGAGGGGAGATGGAGCATAGTTTGGTAATTCCTTAATAAAAGAGAGAAAAACCTTACATTTTCAGGGTTGAAGAATAAGTAAAAGAATATTAATAATAAAGGGACAAGTAAGTAAATGTGCAGTAAGTCTTAGTTTCTTCCTTCACTGGCCATCTCTAGTATTTTGAGACAAAGTAGTATGATGGAAAAAACATCGAGAAAAAATCTGTCATTGAGGAGGAAAGGTAAGGTAAAAAAAAGGTATGCTAAACTCAAAAAAAAAAAAAAAAACACTAATTTTGTAAGACTTTTACATAACCTCTGTAATTAAAAACAAAACATTACAAAATAATGAAATGAAAAGCGTTTTTCATGTTATCTGAAATTAATGGTTTTTACCATGGTTTTGCCTGATCCTCGGGGTCCAACAATGAGTACAGAGTTACCTTCTCCATGGACAGCAGTTCTTTTTAGCAGTTCAATTAAGTGTCTAAAATGATATAAATAGGCCAACATTTCGAAATCAAGCTGGAATAATTTGTTAGGTAAAATTTTTTATAGGCTGGATTTGTACATGGAACACAAATTCCTCTTCCTCTGGGCCTTGATTTAGACTCTCAATAGTCTTATACAGAAGAATACAAGAGAAAAGATAGCATGTCAGGGATAATTCTTGGAAACCTGATGAGGAAACCTGGTAAATTTAGAATATATTAGGTTTTATGATGGTGAGGGTCAAAAGACAATAATGGCAATTCTTAAGACCCTTGTATGTAGAGAACCTTCTCTAATTAACACTCTGGTCTTTAACTCTAGAATTGGCTGCCAAGTGTTAAGGAAAAGAAAGAATTCTCCACAATGCAAGATGACAGAAATAGGTACAGGGCTTTAACATTGTGAAAATATCTGCACCTGCTCATGTTTCATGATAATCAGTATTTCTATATACAAAGCTAACATTTTAACTCCTATGAAAAAATACTCTTAAGATCAAATTTGTGTGTTATGGTTTAAATCTGAAATGTTCCTCCAAACTCCCACATTCAGAGGAGGGCACCCTGCATTGGAAGGGTGTGTTCTTTTCCAGGATCCTCCCCCTTCTCAGCTTCCTGGTTGCCATTAACTGAACAGGTTTCCTCAACCATGCCCTTTTACCCTACTGCTTTGGCCTTGAAGCAAGCTATCTTTAGAATGAACACAATGTGAGCTGTGAACCAAATAAATCTCTCTTTTTTAAAATTGTGGGTGTTGGATATATAGTCCCAGCAATGGGAAAGTGACTAAGAAATTGTGTTTAATTTTTTACAAAACCTAGAGAGTACCAGCTAAGTTGGTTCAAAACTGACAAGAGGCTAATTAGACTTACTTGTATTGTACTTGCACTCCAAATAAGTTACTATATGGAGTCTGATGGCAAAATCTTTCCCGTAAAATTCTTTGTACCTAATGAAAATAACAAGAGTAAAAATATTACATGTACAATCAAAACTGAATGAGAAACTACATTAATAGCAATCAGAATTAGGTTTTAATTAATTCAATCCTCACTAAACATTTGATCTCAAAAGTTCTAGCATCATTTCATTGAGTTACAAAATTAATGATAATGATTTGTTTACCTATCAAGTCACAGAGAAATGATGACAATTCAGTTGAGAAAGTTCAAAAAAAGGGAGTTACTTACATTAAACACAAGAGCACTTGGGGACTATTTTAATACATATGAATAAATGAAAGAATAAACAGATACTTCATTTTATATAATGTGCTAGTCAAACAATAATAAAAGGAGAAAAGTTTACAATGCAATGTAATCTAATATTGGTCATGCACCACACATTCACTCGCTAGAGACCAAAACAATTAAACTAGCTTAATTCAATCACTATCCCTCTCTACCTGTCATAAAAGTCAGGATTCTAAGGAAAAAGAAGTTAAAAGTTCAGGTAGTTTTTAAGACCAATTAGACTCAGGGCATGGCAAAACTAAAAGGTTATGATCCATGTCTAAAAAGATATAAATAATTTGTAGAGAAATCACAAGTTAAATAAACAAACAGCACTAGTTCACCATATAAACAAATGCTCAATTATATGAGAGAACCATTTATCTAGGAAATAGAGTAAGAAATGAGGGCAATGGGTGCATTTAGTGATACAGCACTTGCCTTGTATAACTGATGCCATGGGTTCCCCAAGTGGCACAGAAGGAAGGAAGGAAGGAAGGAAGGAAGGAAGGAAGGAAGAAAGGAAGGAAGGAATGAATCACTGGAATAAACTAAGAAAAAAATTCTTATAAATAGCTACATTTTAAATTTGTCTTAGAAATGAAATGATTAGTTATATAAATGTCAGAGTCTTAATTATAGTCTTTAAAATTCAATCGTTTTCTGGATTTGCTACTAATATAGTTTTTCAGAGATGAAAAGCTTAGGTAGCTATCCCCTGTTTAGCCCTAGAGGCTGAAATAGGAAGCTTCCAAGGTGGGGTATGGTGGCATATACCTGATAATCCTAGCTACTAAGAAGCTTGGAGGAGGAGGACCTCAAGTTGAAGTCCAGCCTGAGCAACTAAGCAAAATCCTATCTCAAAATAAAGTGTTAGGGAAGCAGCATAGTGATAGAATGCTTGCCTTCGTGCTTAATGCACAGGTTCAAACCTCAACATCAAGAAAGAGAAAAATAAGCTCCAAGATAATTTGCTTCTCTAAGATTTACAGCATAGGACAACTGAAGAGATGAATCTGAGTTTTCTTTACACGTACCAGACTAAGCAAAGAAAATTATTCACTGAAACAATCCATGGTTTAAGGAAACTAAGAGAATAAAGGGATTGGCACACAGGAACTACTTGTATGAATTTAGAAAGATGAAACCTTTTCTACTACTAGTTTCTGTATTGAAAAATGCAAGGAGTAATACCTGTGTGGCAGGCCTGTTTTGAAGATTAAAGTAGCTACCTGTAACACAATTACAGGAATTGTGTAGATAATAGCTGATCCCTTGTAAAATACTCAAATGGACTTACATATAAATGATTCAAAATATGTTTTTTTATGACATATTTTCTTCTATGTAGATAAGATCATTTTGAATCCAAAGATAAGCCTAACCCTTTCCTTTAAAAGAAAACCAGTCCATTAAAATGTATGAGATGCCACAACTCTCAGGAGGTTCACAATCCCAAAGTGAGCTGGATGTAGGTTAAACAGATATATAGACATTAATTTACATTGAAGAACTACACACTTTACATAAAAAGGGTATGCAAATTACACCTCAGGTTATAATTTTGTTTGACATGGAGTCATTTTCTTTCAGAAAAACAATAAGGTCTTACAAGGGGCTATAAATAACATGTTATGTTGATTTAAAAAAATTAATGAGCCAGACAAGTCAGCTAATTCAAAATCCAGGATAGAATTATTAAGGTCCATTCCTTACTGGATTATAAACTTAAGGAAGAGACACAAAGATAGTACTACAAATATATGATGTACTTAATATTAAATGCTAAAATAGTCAACAAACTGGGAATACAGGGTACCTTCTCAACCTAGAACTAACATCATATAGATGGTGAAACACTGAATGCTTTTTCCTCATGATAAGAAACAAAGAAGAATGTCTATTCTCATCATTCTAGTTAACATTTTCTTAAAAGTTCACACCAGGTCCATTGAGAAAGAAAAATGAGGAATCCAGGTTGAAAGGAAAGGAGTGACCTACATCTGCAGATCACATAATGTTAATACAGAAAATCCTAACAAAGTAAGAATACTGGAACTAACAAATCATTTCAGCAAGGTTATAAGAAAAAATATCAATACATTAAAAACAATTGCAATTCTATATACTACCTATACATGCCATCAATTAAAGGAATAAAATAGGAATAAATATGACAAAAGAAATGGAAAATTTATATTCTAAAATTGAAATCTGATCACTTTTAGGAAGACATGGATAATTTAGGATTCAACTATCCAAAGACAAAGGATGATTAAGAAGTAGCATACAACATTAATAAATATATATGCATATATATGTATATATATATATATATATATATATATATAAAATTATCAACTGACAGAAAAGGTTTGAGAACAGATCTGTCATTTAATTTGGAAAACTGTTTCTAAAATCGTTCTTATCTTATACAAATACCTTCCTAGTATGAATATCTCCCTAAAAATGGAAACCTGTTCCTTAGTACCAAGAAAAACAGTCAAATTAAATGACTATTTCAACAGTTTCTATGATCATCTCTGTATGAGAATAAGTTTAAAAATTAAAATAAATACATACTAACCTGAGAAAGGGACTCTCCATGTAGTAAGTTGTTGTTCTTTGATTTACGATTGCTCATTTCAACAAATTCAAATCCCTAAAAAACAATTAGGGTGAATCAAAATAGATACAATCTTTTCATTGTGAAAATTTTTTTGGTTTTTCAAAATTAAAAAATCTCTATTTCTCTTTGTTCAATGACTGGGTTACTGATACCTATACTATAGTTTAAACAATTGTTACAACTACTACTCCTGTTTCCTTTAAACATTTTCATTTCTTTCTTTTTCCTTAACACAGAACATTTCTCCTATCCATTCAATCCTTTACAGAGAACTTTTCCTTTCTTGATTGCTCAAAACCACCCAATATACAGATCAGATCAAATGTCTCTTCTGTAAATACCTGTGAATGCACATTCCTCTTTTACTTACAACCAAATTATAATAAGGAAAATTACCCTTTTGTCAGAGTTCTCTGAGGACATTTTAAATTCCAGTTATTACAGCATTATGTCCAAAACAAAACTGGCAATGAAGTTATGATTACAATGAAAAGAACATTAATTAAAAACCACACAGACAAGCAAAGAAACATTTTTTTGGTTACTTTCTTTTTCAGAATCCCTTTGGCTAAAACATCAATTTTTTAAACATGGAATTCTTATGGGAATACCTCACAGTCAACAATAATAATTTAAGCAGTGTTTATTTAGGCACCAGAACTAGGTGAAAAATTGTTTCCTCCTTTCCCTTGTACCCTGGAGACCTCAGCAACTAAGGAACATCTCAGATGCCCCTTCCCTGCAGCTGAATGACCTCAGCAGCCCACAAGAGCCACGGCTAACCTTCCTCCATATCTAAAAGACCTAGGCAGTCCACGGGAGCATCAGTGGTCCCTTCTACAACCTGCAGTACCTTGGTGGGCTGGCGGGAGTCTCAATGACACCTTCCCTCTACCCAGAGGACTTTGACATGCCAGCGAGAGCACAGTGATTCCCCTCACCCCCAAGCAGAAGACCTCAGTGGAACAGCAGAAGCCTTGGCCAACCCTCCCTTCTACTGGAGGATCTTGTAAGGCCAGCAAGAGCAGGTGAGTCCTTTTTCCATATAGAGAACCCGGGGTTAGCTTGTGAGAACACCAGCGAGGCTTCCCTCCACGTGGAGGAAATGGACTGGGCCTGCAAGACCCTAGTGGCATCGCAGAGTCCCAGCTGGGACATACACTGTGAACAGATGGGTCTGGGGGCTTGAACAATTTGAAGCTGCAGTAGCACTACGAGCTATGGGTTGGTTCACATCAATACTCCAAGCCTAGCAAGAATGTAAGAATCATCCAACTAGTCCCACAGGAGGAATTCAGGTGACTGGTCCCACCTCTACACTGTAGAACCTGGCAACTGGATGAATGTCAGACAAGCAGAAGGACTCTAAGACACATATGATGGACGGTCAAGACTAGTGGGAGTGAAAAGACCTAAATATTAACTGAGAAGTGAAAATGACAAAATGAAAAAGCAAAATGCAATCTCAAATCCCCAACCCACGTGGAACAAGTAGAGGAGACATCATATCAAAGACATTGGAAGAAATGCACCTGAAATTTCTGAAAAGACAGCAAGTGAAGCGAAGAAACCAATCCATGAAGATACAGAAAAAAATCAGATCAGAAATAATCTCTCAGGTAAAGAAACAAATGACAACTTTAATGAAGTTGCTCAGCATAGCCAGAAAACACATAGATGAAAAAGTACAGGACCATGGCAAAATGATGGAAACTTTAAATGAACAACATAGGAAAGCAACAGAATGCATGAAACAGAGTCTCTGTGAATCTGTTTCAAAGATTCTGATGAAATCTGAGTAACAGTGAAATTAAAAATTCCACTAACACCTGGAAAAACTGCTTGAAAGAAACTGAAGATAGACATTCAGACCTTAAAGACAGGATGGCAGTTAGTAATTGTGAAGGAAAACATTTCTTAAAAATAAGGAACCAGGAAAAAACAATGCAATGGCTGCAATGCAACATGAAGAAAAAGAATTTAAGAATGACAGGTGTCCGCAAAAAAGCAAGAGTAAATACAAATGACATAAAGAGACTACTTCCAGAAATAGCAGAGAACTTCCCAAGCATGGGAAAAGGAACTGGCATATAGGTGAGTAAGTGAGCACTCAGAACTCCAACTAGCCATAACCACAATAAATCTACACCTAGACTTATAACAGTCAAGATCCCAGAAATTCAGCACAAGAACAGAATATTAAAGGCTGTTAGAGAACACAAACAGATCACCTATAAAGGAAAACCCATCAGAATCACGACAGACTTCTTGACACAAACCATCAACTCAAGAGAAGCTTGAAGTATTTCAAGTCCTGAAAGAAAACAACTTCCAACCCAGACTGATGTACCCTGAAAAACTATCTTTCAAATTTAACAGACAAACAAGATACTTCCATGACAAAGAACTGAAGGAATTCATAACCATCAAACCAACCCTACAAAGAGTACTGAAAGATATTCTAGAGAGATATAAAAATGATCATGGCCTCAGGAACAGCAGCAGAGTGGGATTATCAAGCAGTGCAGACTCCTGAATGGAAAAGTAGGGAGCCAACGGCAGGAAAAAACCATGATAGAGATCAACCAGTGATGCTGGCCATACTATTAATGTAGATGTCCTCAATTCACCAATAAAAAGAAACACAAAGTAGATTAAGAAACAAGATCAATATAGAGTGTAAAAAAATATCAACTCAAAAGGAAATTCATAACTGAAAATCAAAGGACAAATAACAATGTTCTATGTGACACAGAACCAGAAAAAAGCTTACTTGTCATCCACAGAATGGATGAGACATTTTTATATAATGGAAAGCTACTCAGCTACAAAGAAGGATAATCACCAGGCTCTTGTAAGTAAATGTACGCAATTTGTGATAATGCTCTTGGGTTGAAATAGTTGGGACACACATAGGTGAAAATCACGTTGTCACCCTAGTATAAAAAACTGAAGGAGTTAAGTGGGATCCAAAATGTACAACAGATACTGTGAAAGTGAAAGGGGGACAAATGTCTAAAAAGGGAAGGTAATTCTCTATTATTTTGTTTTAAAGTCCTGTAGCATTTTCATTGTTTTGACTGATTTTATTCTGTTTTGTTTGGTTTATTTTTTATATCTGGTGGTATGGGCAGCTATTTAGAAGATAACAAGATATATTATGGTAGTCATTGTTGATTTCCTCTTATCTTCTTTTGAAGTTCTGTATCTCTTTCACTGTTTTGTTTTGACTGACTTTGTTCTATTTTGTTTGGCTTTATTCTTTAAAAATTAAAGAAAAAAGAGTCAACCAGAGGAACAAAAGGCAAAATCAAAAAGAGCAAAGAAAGTATGGGACACCATCAAGCCCTTGAATATTAAATTGATAGGAATATGATTTAAGCAGTGCATTATTAGGTAATTTCCTAGTTTTACTGAAATAAGTACAGCTACAAGCCTGGATGGTATAGCCTACTATGCACTTAGGGCGGAAGCAGGAAACCTATGGTATGCATGCCACAGGTGGCTGTTTGTTATCACTGAAAGCTCTGAAAAATTTGCCATCACTGGTATAAATTACAAGATACAGAACTACTATTCCTATACTGCAGACTTGTTTAGAATTTTACTGTACTATACATTATAGGCAATTTTAACACAATGGAAGTTTTTATATATCGAAAAAGCAGACACAAGCAAAAATACTAAGTGACAGGAATTTGTGCCTCTATTAAAATCTTATGGAACTACAGTTGAATATGTAGTACATCATGACTGAAATGCATGCTTTGTATTGAATGACTGTTTATTAATTATGGGAATTCCAGAAAGTAAAGATACAGAGAAAAACAGAAAGCTTATTCAGATAAAGACTATCTGAAAATGTTCCAAATCTTGACAGGGCTATCTATACATAATCAGTTTCACAAAAATAGAAGGGCCTTAAGGAGAATCCATCAAAATAAGACTACAAAGTCACCTTATACTCAAACTGCAGACAAGGAGAAAACTTTGAAAGCAAGAAGCAGTAAGAGACTCATCACATGTAAGAAAATGCCCAGAAGGCTATCAGTAGACTTTTCGATAGGCATAGTGCAAGCAAGAAGAGACTGGAGTGATACATTTAAAGCAGAAAAAGAGAGGTGGGGGAGGGAAGGGAAGGGAAGAAAAAGAAAGAAAGGATAGGATAGGAGAGAAGAGGAGAAAGAGAACAGGAGAAGAAGAAAGAAGAAGAAGAAAAGGAGAGGGAGAGGGGAAGGAGAGAAGGGTAAATGGAAAACTCTGTGTGTGTGTGCGCAGGCTACTTATAGAATATCTGGTAACTACTTACCCTATGAAAAGACTAAGAAAGACATCCCCAGGCAAACTAAAACTGAGGAACTCACCACCACTAGACTTAGTTAAAAGAAATGCCAAAGGAGCACTTTCACATTGAAACAAAAGAACTATTATTTACAAGGACTGACTAAAAAATATGGAGAATGATTAAATTTTTTGTGACTCTGACTGAATTTGGTGACTGTATTTTATCAGTGAATGCTGCTGAGTGACATGCAAGGGAAAAGAAGCCTCTTAAAAACATCTCACTTTATTCAATAGATTGCATCTTGAAACTTCTGGCTTCTTCCCAATGTCAATATGACCATGTAAGGTAAAAGATTTTCAATCAATTTGGGATATCAAGACAGCTATGTCAACACGCCTAAAGACACTTACAAAAAAAGACTTTGAAGAATTGCTTCCAAAGTGGTAAGAATGATAGGATAACTGTGTTGAAAGCAAGGGGAAGTATTTTAAGGCAGATTAAAAGCAATGTGCCTTTTACTGTAATAAACTGTTTAAACATTGCCTTTTTTAAATAGACCTTGAAAATCATAAAAATATATGAAAGTGAAACATTCAAGGGGAAAAGTAAACACAAAATTAAATTCAGGACACCATAAAGCCTTTATATCTCTACTATAAAGGTAATGATACAAAATTTAAAACTCTATTATATGGTAAAGGATGACAATATAAATATGATGTAAGTCATTACGCCAAAAAATGTTGTG